TTCTAGGATATCCTTAACAGTGTTGATTAAGAGAGGTGACAGCAAGAATCCCTGTCCTGTTTCTGAACTTAAAGCGAATGCTTTTGATGTCTCCTTAAGATGTAGGCTGTAGGTTTTGTTTTTGTAGACACATCAAAAGGGATAGCATCTCACTGAGAAAGGGGAAATAGAGGTGGGTGGGACTTTAAAGTGCTGGGAATGTTCTATTTCTTATTAGTTATCCGTATTATAATGTTTCATGCACTTTTTAATAAGTGTGTAATATTTTCACACACAAGTTAAAAAAGGAAGGATCTTTGTATAATATGAGGTTTTTCCCAGGGAGATATTTAATGCAATTATTTCTAATGAAATTGGTATAACTGCTTACCTTTGACTGAAGTATTTATTAAGCCTGTAACAGTTACAAAAACCTCAAAGAAAATAAAAAGCAAGCTTCTTACAAAAGATAAATATTCCCATTGCCTAGAAATATCTTCAGAATGCTTACGCTGAAACAAGATGTGTTCTGTAAGAGGCCATCTGCTCAGGCTGTTTATTGTCTACTACAAGTCATAATCCTATTTGCATCAGTAATTACTTGTTCAAATATAAATATAGCAGAAAAGATTAAGATTTCAAAGAATACACAGAAAAAAATTACAAAGGCTATAATTCTCAGTAATTCTGTATTAAAACAGCTCAACACAGGTATCATTCACATAAATAACCTCTTTCATGAAACTATTCCTCTTAATCACCACCTGATATCTCATTTGTGAAAAAACTATATATTGTACTTACTGTTCTCAAGTAGCTTACTCACTAAAACTTACTTTAGCACAAAAGTATTTTAAATGAATTCTATCTCTGGAAACACCTATTTAAAAACTACCATAGCTTTAATTTACAGAAACATGAGATTGCAATTTTAAAAAAAGGTATTTTACATAAACCTCTTAACTAATCCAATAGGCACTGAAATGATCAAACCAACACTTCCCTATCTCATACCAAAATCAAAGTTTACAGTTCTTTATCCTCTGTCTTGTTAACACCAAAACATCTTTTTTCCCCCTTCCTTCTTCTTCTTCTTTTTTTTAATTTAAAAGGGAGGAAAGCTAGATAGGGACATCGATTTGGCTGCACTAAAGAGAATGAATGACAGAAAGCTGTGGGAGGCAAAGACAAAGAACAAATAAGTGAGCCAGTTACATGCAGATGCACTAATTCACATGAGAAATGTAAAAATGTGAATTAAGGTCTTCACAGAGTTACTGGGTAATGAAGCTATTCTATAAACCCAAAACTGTAGACGAAGGTAAACCAGGATGACAGCATATTTAAAGTAAACATGAAGATTCCTGATGAGCACCTGGTATCTGACATGGACTTATACCATGACTGGCCACAAAACAGGTATATGCTGCCTATGTGACCAGCTCTTTGAGAACTACGATCTCTAAGACTCAAGCTAACTTCCTTGGGTAGAGTCATCTAACATGTATCTCTGAAGGTCACAGGTAAAGAGAAAAGTACATCTGCTGTGACTCTTGCAAAAGAAAGAGTGATTACTTAGTAGTCTGTGCATGACTTCTTTACCAATGTGTGTCTTTTTCTTGCTGCTCCTGGACTATATCCTCTGCTGCAATAAACATGAGCTGTGAATACAACTTTTATTGAGTCATGTGAGTTCTAGCGAACAATGAACTAGTTAAGTAGTCGAGGGACCACTTAAGACAGGACCAGCGAGTTAACAGGAAATTATGGAGTTGGTAGGGTGGGAGGAGAAATCAATTTAGTTTCCTTGTAAGGTGTTTTGATCACATTCTTTAGAATTCTATGGTTCTGAGTAGCAAAATATTTTTTAACCATTTTAGCCTCATCAGCAGTTCAAAATTCTCTTCAGCTTTAGCTCACTAATCTATGTAATTTCTATTAAATTTAGAAAAAAATATAAAGGAACATGCCTTACTTCAAGAATTTTTCCTAATGTATTTTGTGATCTTGTTCCAAACTTTGTGTTGTGTGTGTATATAAACATACATATGTGTTTATATACTATCACTAATTTTAAAATCATTATGTTACTATATTTTTCTCAAAAAATTTTACTCACCATCTAGCACATGTATCAATTTGCTAGGTGTTAATTGTTTTCTCAAAAAAAATTAAGAAAATAAAGCTCCCATCCTAGAAACTAGAGGACACTTACATGAACGACCAAAATCTTCTCTAGGCTTTTCTAAATGTTTCATTTCTAACAGTATTCTAGACACAAGCTTTATAAAAGATTGCATCTTTAATGTCATACTGAGATTGAAAATACTGCATTGTAGCTATATGATGGATCAACCTTCTTATGAAAACTCCTCTGCAGTAACATTCAAAACTCTGAATAATGAGCTATTCCATGACTTAGTCAGTGAGAAACAAAAGGCAACCAGAGTAGTAATAAAAATATTACCAGAAGCTACTTCTGCTTCCTGAGCGTGAAAGTATAAAATTATCTGGCAATTGAATAGCTTTGTTATCCTTAGGTAAGTTTATGTTTCTGAAATGATCATTCATTGCAGAGTTCCAAGTATGACAGCAAGAATAAGACACAATTTTTCATTCCTTCACTGTATCGTATTGAGTTCTATCTGGCCCTGTCAGGGGCGTCCAATCTTGTGGTGTCTCTGCGCCACACTGGAATGTCTTGGGCCACACATTAAATACATTACGACATGTAATCACAAAAAAAAAACAACTCATAATATTTCAAGTAAATTTACAATTTTGTGTTGAGCACATTCACAGCCATCCTGGGCTTCATGCAGCCTGCAGGCTGCAGGTTGGACACCCCAAATACAACAAACTATTGAAGGCAACCAATACGTGCCCTCTAAGTAGTCAACTGGTGATACAGCACAGTCAGCTGACTGTAAGGATGGACTGTGGAGTCAGGCTGCTGGGAGCTAATCTTGGCTCCACTACAAATCAGAGTTACTTCTGTGAAATAAGATGAAACAAAACAATATAAAATAAAATGAATGCTATCACTATTCTTTTCCTTTTCTTCCATAAAAGAATTAAAATGAGAGCACATCTAGTCTTGCCTTGTAGAAATCAAAAATGATAAATTAATACATAAATGCATATGGTTTTTCATAAGATGAGAACTTCTAATAGAATTCTTATCATAATCTTACTATCAACATTAAATTTTTGATAATCTTCTAACAATCTGTTATGTGGGATATGGTACACATCTTTGTTTAGATGGCAATGCACAAGCAAGTGAGGATGCTCTTTATGGACCCCCAAAATAATATTGTACTTAATGATACTGTAAGAACTAGAAAAACAATTTTACTAGATTATGGAATTACATATATATACATACACACACACACACATGCATATTCTCCAATATGAAATTAATAACCACAAATCTGTATCTATGAAAAATCTAAGCAAGATCAATGTAATTTTTTTCATTAACATTAATTTGGTACTGGTTAATTAATAGTAACAGTACCTAACTTTTTTTCCTTTTAATCCTTGCCTGAGGATACACTTACTGAGTTTAGGAAGAAAGAAAGAAAGAGAAACAGTGATGTGAAAGAGAAATGTTGATCAGTTGCCTCCCGTATGCACCTAAACCAGGAATCAAACCCACAGCCTAGGTATGCACCCCGACCAGGAATTGAATCCACAGCCTTTCGGGGTATGGGACAATGTTCCAGCCAACGGAGCCACGCCAGCCAAGGCCAGCCACGAACTTTTGAATACCTACTACATGCCAGGGAGTATGCCGAAAATTTGTATGCACATTTTACTTACAACTTATTTACCTTACTTATAACCAGATGAGGTACTCGTTGTTATTTTTATTTTGACAGTGCAACAATTAAGGTTTCCAAAAGGTCAGATATAATTCGATCAAAGTTCAATAACTGATAAGTGGTAGAATGATGACTTGAAACCAAGCCTAACTCAAACCTTGTGCTTAACCACAAATCTATATTTTTATATTATGCTATAAAAATCTAAAAATTTAAACATTTTACATTATCATATTTAAACTTTATACTGCTCAGAAAAGATAAATGTTAATCGATTTTAAGAACAGAACTTAAGTACCAGTGGGAAGATCATTTAAATGTTACCACCACAAAAAAGAAATGGTAGTTATGTGACACAATGGAGGTATTAGATAATGCTATGGTGGGAATCGTTTTGCAATATATAAATGTATCAAAGCAACAGACCACACTTCAAACTCACATAGTACTGCATGGTAATCTCAATAAAGCTGGGGGGAAAAAAGAGTAGCTGAGAGGCCTCCTATTAATTATTTATTCTGGCAATTACTCCTAAGTTCCAAATGTAAGGTGCTTTTGTTAAGTACACCACTACAGAAATCCATTTCTAGAAGCTGCAGTTCAAATAAAGGCCTTTTTGCTAGGATATAAGCCAATCATAAAATCAATCACCTAACTTACCTCCTCAAAGAAAAGAGACTTTTTTTAGAATAAAATAAAGTTTTAATGGATAAACTAAATCCACTCTGCCTTGTTTGTACCCATTTTGGAATTTATTTATTTTAATTTGAAGGAGGCTAATATTGTCAAAAAAAAAAAAAGAAAAAGGAGAGAAACCCTGAGTCTTTAGTCTAATTGCTATTTGCTAAAAGAAATATTTTTGATATAAATATTTAGTTCTGTAGGGAGTCCTCTAACAATATTACCTCATGTGTCAATAATTTCTAATGTTATTCAATTAGCATACCTATAGTCATAATTGGAAAGTCAGAAAATTATATATAAAAATTTTCATAAATGAGAACTGTGAAAAGATTATTCACAGATGAAATATATCTAGCTCAATCCAACTTAAAATTTTATTATTTTAGAATAAATTTTTCCTAAAAGACAAATATCTTGAGTCAGCATTATATAACCATTAAAGACAAGATAGCTTGTTAATCATCAAACTTAAAAATAGTTTTAAATCAAGCCTTAAAATCCATCTACCTTATGATATCCATTGCCTGGTAAAGGATTTCAGATTGATCAACTCCAAGAACCTTCTTTGCCCCAGCTTTAGCAGCAAACATAGAGAGAATGCCGGTTCCACAACCAACGTCCAAAACTACCTGGTGTAATTAAAAAAAAAAGTTATTGAAAAGGTCTAACATTTTACAAACTTTACTAAGTATGGTAATTATTTCTATTTGGGGAAACTGAAGATAATCATTACAATGGGTTGTTTTAAATTTAAAAACAACGTATTTGGCCATAGCCTGTTGCACTCAGATGCCACAATGTAAATTTAAGAGATGTTTTATATGAAAAAAGAAACTTCTGTAGACTTCGTAATAGGAAAGTATTTTACATTCCCTATTATATGCATGCACTAATTTAGATTTAGTAATTCTAAATTTTAACAGAAATAAACTATCTCAAGTTCGAATGGCAGGAATTAAGCAGAATAGCCCGATTCAATACAATTTTTTAAAATGGTGATAAAGGAATCATGGATATAGAATATCATCACATTCCCTCCATTTCCAAAATTAAACATTAGCCCCAGCTGGTGTAGCTCAGTGATTTGAGTGCTGGCCTGCAACCAAAAAGTCACCAGTTCGATTTCCAGTCAGCGCACATGTTTGGGTTGCAGGCCAAGTCCCAGTTGGGGGAGCGCGAGAGGCAAAGAATTGATGTGTCTCTTGCACATCGATGTTTCTCTCCCTCTTTTTCTCTCTCCCTTCCCCTTTCTTTGAAAATAAATAAATAAAATCATAAAAAAAATAAGAAATTAAACATTCACCTTGCTATAGCAATACAGACACAATAAAAACACATTGGCTTCTAAAATTCAGTAACTTGAGAATTTAAGTTTTAAAAATGATACTCATCATTGGTGAAAATATTAAGAGAATTTTTATGCATACATTGGGTTGGCCAAAAAGTCTGTTTAATTTTTAATCCATAAAATAAAGATGCATTTTTCATTTTCACCAATAACTTTATTGATTTGGATATTTTGAGTATGTCAGCTACCTCCCACGTGGTATGTTGACTGTCCTCAATTAATGTCTCAATTTGATCACTATCAACTTCAACTGGTCTACCTAACTGTGGAGCATCATCCAACAAGAAATCTCCACAGGAAATTTCGCACACCACTTTTGACACATTTGATCAGTCCAGCACCTTCTCTCTACACTGCACAAATCATTTTTTCTCATGTCAGTCACATTTTTACTTTTCTTGAAATAATAAAGCATACAATGCTGAAAATGTTGCATATTTTCTTCCTTCTTCAATATTAAAATGGCTACACAAAAATTCACCAATTTTGGTGTTTTTTTTTAAATGCACATTTATATAACATCTGTCACAATACAACCTAACAAAATTGTTTCAAATGAAGTCACAGGCAACTATGCACTACTAGAGTCATCTTATGGGAAAAAACAAACAAACGTTTTTGGGCAATCCAATAGAATGCAATGTATGTTTTTCCTTTTTTACAAATGAAAGTATGTTTTACATACTGTGTTACATGTTGCTTTTTTTAATTTTAAAATATAGAGATCTTTCCATAACAGTTTATAGATAGGATTCCATATTATACCATAATCTAATGTGCCATAATCTACTGGTCTAGTTCTCTATCAATGGGCATTTAGATAGTGTTTGAAATTTTATATGACAATACTGTAAATAACCTCACATATAACCCCATTCACCCAGGAGTGACTCTATAGAATATATTCCTGAAAGTGAAAACACTGTGAAAATATTTTGTCAGAAAGTATATACATATTTATAACCCTAGATATAACCAAATTACCCCTCACAGGTCAATTCTGCTCATGAAGACTCAACTAGCAATGTGAAGGTGCCAATTTCCTCATACGTGAGACTAGCCCATGGAACTGATAATCAAACTTGAATTTCTGCCGATTTAGCAAATGCAAAATAATGATATACCAGTCTAGTTTTAACATGCATGTCTTTTATCATGAGATTTAACACCGTTTCATATGTTGTAGAGCTACTGTTAGGTCTTTTTTTATGTGATCTAATTATATCCTTTCTTGATTTTTCCACTGACTTACTATTCCTTTTTTAAAATCAATTTTATAATCAAATTCTTCTGACCAAATCTTATCATATAAGAGTTCTTTGTAAATCAGGGAGAATAGAACTCTATAATATTACTTGAAATGCTTTTTTCTCAGCATAGCTTTGTGTTTTGTTTCTGTTTACAGGGATTTTTGTTATGCAGAAATTCTTTCCTAACATACTTATTAATCTTTTCTTTTATGGCTTCTGGATTTGATCATAATTACAATGACCTTGCCCATGTTCTCTCCTATTTCATCCTCATACATTTCTTTCTAGTATATTTATGGTTTCATTAATACTTTGTTTTCCTATCATATATACAATAAGAGGTATGGTTCCAAATTTACTTCTGTTCAGAAAGCTAACCAATTGTCCCAACGTGTTATTATAAAGCCTGTGTTTCCCCCACTGGCTTGATATAGGACAGCTATGATCTTTATGTGTGTGTCCTCCCTCCCCTTAATATTTTCTATGTTGAAATCCTAACCCCCAAGGTGATAGTATTGGAAGCTGGGCTTTGAGGTAATTATATCACAAGGAAAGAATCCTCACAAATGGGATTAGCACTAACACCATCCAAGGTATAATCTTTTTCCCCAGGTAGTCCACTGCTAGAAATCTGTCTTATTATTGTACTCTCACACATATCAAAATATTTTTAATATTTTATATGCAATATTATTTCTAATATAACAAATTAAAATAACTTATGGACATTCTTATGTTGAATATATGAAGCATTAAAAGAATGTTAATAAAGAATTATCTCTAAGGAAAACTGCTGAGTGATGACAGCAAGAACAAAAGGATATGTATCATATACTCCAATTAGAGTGTGTGCTTTTTTTTGCAAGACTATCATGTATAATTTATATATATATAATTCTTATTTAATCCTCACTTGGCAAATAACGAAAGTGAGCTTCAGAGGGGGAAAGAAAGTAACAGACCCAGAATCATATAGCTAGTAATTTACAAAACTAGCATTCAAACATGGGTCAACTGCTTCTAAAGGCTATTTTAAATTACTATTTTTAATTGTATCTTAATTATTTATTACACCTAGCTCAGAATTGGGTAAGTGAGGAAATAAACTGAAACTTGATAGAATCAAAGAGTTACAAATATTAACAGAATAAACACTTAAAAATTATAAAGGAATTTAATTTACTTTTCTTAAAAAAAAGAAAAAAGTGAATTTTAACTATAGTTAATAATCAAAAACATAAAAAAGGCACCTTACTGCGAATTTCTTCAACGAACCACAAATGGAAATTAATTATGAGTGGGTGATAACACAATTAAATGCCACTCAAAGTTAAATTTAATCTGAGAAACCATATGGCCTCCACAGGAACTTTGTGAGATGAAACAATATTGAGAAAGGAATGAAGGGAAGGTGGCAGGAAAGGAGGGATGAACAGACAAGGGAAGGAATACACTTTTAAGTATAAGCACCTTTTAGAAAAATTAACCTCTTCCTGCACTACATAGTATGATATAGAAGCTAGTGTTATTATAATGAAGTTTGTCTACCTAATAGAGATAAAAGCAAACACAATGGTAATAAAACAGGAAAGCATTATTTCACATATTTTAGAAAGAATTATATGTAAATAACTTTGTGAACATATTCTATAATATAAATAGAAATTATATGACATACACACACACACATATAAAAAATAGTGTGACTTAACATGTAACTAATGGATCCCACCCTAATTATTCATTCTATTTCAGCACAGCACTGTTTAAAGTGAAGTGGCACAGGGTTACGGACATTAGACTAGGAATAAAACCCCTCAGGTTTGTTCATTTTTAATGGCCTGTTTTAGGGCAAGTCAATTACCCTATTGGTTTCAAGTTTCCTCATGTGTAAAATGGAAATAAATACTTGCCTGAACCTAATTACAGGAATATTGTATAGCAACAATGAGACATGTTTGAAAGCTATCTATAAATTATCAAATACTATTTAAATATATGGTAGCATATTTTCTAAATGTGTACCCATAGTGAAATAAAGTATGCCAAATTATTTAAAAATATAAAAACTCTAGATTATTTAGTATTCTTAATCACAGAGAATTATATCCTGAATATGCTTTAAGGAGTTAGAAATTGATATATGTAATATTTTGTACTATATTTTTGAGAAACTGTAAATGTCAAGCAAAGAACTAAGGAATATACTCCCAACTTATTAATAAGCCCTTTTCTGACTTTGGCAGATTTAATATTCTCAGTAGGAGAAGAAAAGAGAATACAAAATAATGATAAACATTCTAAGTTTTCTGAGGTCATGTATTTTGTCTAAAAATGTAAAACATATACATTTCTATAATACTATTACAAATAAAACAAGCAGAAAGTGACTATGCATAAAGTTTATGAACCCAGTAAGATGCGCTCCATACACATGGAAATATTCTGATTACTTAATTTCTTAATAATTAACATTATGATTACTCATACTAGTGTTGTTTCCGTATTTTCTTAGATATTATATGACAAAATCTATTCAGGAGCACATTGGAAAGAAGCTTCTAACTTACTTTCACTTAAATTCTTATGCATATCAAAAAGTATTAGGAAAAGATAACTCAAAGAAAGGCAGTGATGGTGTTTTTAGTAACAAAAATCATTGACGTTTTAAAGTACCTAGGAATGAATTTAACCAAGGAGGAAAAAGACCTGTACTCAGAAAACTACAGAACACTGGAGAACGAAATTAAGGAAGATACAAATAAATGGAAGCATATACTGTGTTCATGGACTGGAAGAATTAACATCATTAAAATGTCCGTATTACCCAAAGCAATCTATAGATTCAATGCAATTCCTATTAAAATACCAATGATATATTTCACAGATGTAGAACAAACCTTTCAAAATTTTTATGGAATCAAAAAAGACCCCGAATAGCCTCAGCAATCTTGAGGAAGAAGAACAAAGTAGGAGGCATCACAATACGTGATATCAAACTCTATTACAAGGCCACTGTAATCAAAACAGTCTGGCACTGATGTAAGAACAGACATATAGATTAATGGAACAGAACAGAGAGCCCAGAAATAAACACAAGTCTCTATGGTCAATTAATATTTGACAAAAGAGGCATGAGTATGCAATGGGGTAAAATACTCTCTTTAATTAAGGGTGTTAGGAGAACTGGACTGGTACATGCAAAAAAATGAAACTGGACCACCAACTTACACCAACCAGAAGAAACTCAAAATGGATAAAAGACTTAAATATAAGCCACACCTTAAGTCCTAGAAGAAAAGATAGGCAGGAAAATTTCAGATATCCCTCATAGCAATATTTTGCTGATATATACCCTAGGGTAAGGGAAATAAAGGAATGGATAAACAAATGGGACTACATCAAATTAAAAAGCTTTTGCATGGCTAAAGAAACCATCATCAAAATGAAAAGAGAACCGACTATACAGGAGAACATAGTGATACATCAGACAAGAGTTTAATCTCCAAAATATATAAAGAACTCATACAACTCAACACCAGGAAGACAAACAATCCAATTAAAAAATGGGCAAAGGATCTGAACAGACACATCTCCAAGGACGACATACAGAGGGCCCACAGACATATGTAAAGATGCTCATTATCATTAATCATCAGAGAGATGCAAATTAAAGCCACAATGAGATATCACCTCACACCTGTCAGAATGGCCATTGTTAATAAATCAACAAACAACAAATGCTGGCAAGGATGCAGAGAAAAGGGAACCCTAGTGCGCTATTGGTGGGAATGCAGACTGGTGCAGCCACTGTGGAAAACAGTATGGAATTTCCTGAAAAAATTAAAAATGGAAATGCCTTTCATCTAGCTGATTCTGCTGCTGGAAGTATACCTTAAGAATCCTGATCACCAATTCAAGAGAATCTATGCACCCCTATGTTCATAGCAATGCAATTTACAATAGCCAAGTGCTGGAAATAGCTACATGTCTATCAGTAAATGAGTGGATCAAAAAATGGTGGTACATTTACACAATGGAATACTACGCAGCAGAAAGAAAGAACTATGTTTTGTGGCAGCACAGATGGATATGAAGAATATTATGCTAAATAAGCCAGTTGGTAAAAGAAAAATATCGTTTAAGATCTCACCCATAAGAGGAAACTAATGAACAAAACAAAGTAACAAACAAAATAGAACCACAGGCATGCAAACATGGAACAGACAGAAGGGAAAAGGACTAGTCAAGGAACATGCATGAATGATCCAAGGACATGGACAACAGTGTGGGAACTGGCTGTGGAATTTGGGGGGTAGGATGGGCAGAGGAGGGCAAAGAAGGAAAAATTGGGACAGCTGTAATAAAACAATTTAAAAAATCATAAAGTTTTAGAAGATAAGGCTCAAAAAGATTCACCATCGGTCTAATTATTATACAGCTGGTTCCTGAGGAGCCTGGCTAGACTGGAGATTTCCAGGCCAGTACATGCTTAATTTCTACATTTACATATTAAGGAAAAAATAAAATTAAAGTCTGATCATAATCTAAGGCAAAATTTCTCATAGTAGCACATCTGCTTCACTACAAAGTGATTTTTGAAAAAATATATTTTATTGATGATACTATTACAGTTGTCCCCATTTTTCCCCCTTGGCCCCCCTCCACTGGGTACCGCCATTCCCTTCAGCAATCCTATCCTCAGGTCATGTCCATAGGTCATGCACATAAGCTATTTGGCTACTTCATTATTTATACTGTTCAGAACACTCCCCTGTCTATTTCATACCTTCCAGTTTGTGCTTCTTAATCCCTGCACCTTTCTCCCTATTTTTCCTCTTCCCCCTCTAACTGATAACCCTCTAAATGATCTCCATATCTATTATTCTGTTCTTGTTCTGGTTGTTTGCTTAGCCTGTTATTTGGATTCAATTATTGATAGTTGTAAGTTTATTGCCAATATAACATTCATCGTTTTGATCTTCTTTTTCTTATATATATAATTTCCTTTAGCATTTCATAAAACAATGGCTTGGTGATGATGAACTCCTCTAGCAGCTTTACCTTGTCTGGGAAGCACTTTATCTGCCCTCCCATTCTAAATATTAGCTTTGCTGGATAGAGTAATCTAGGTTGTAGGTCCTTGCTTTTCATCACTTTGAATACTTCTTGCCAGTCCCTGCTAGCCTACAAAGTTTCTTTTGAGAAATCAACTGATTGTCTTATGAGAACTCCTTTGCAGGAAGTTGTCTGCTTTTCTTTTGCTGCTTTTAAGATTCTCTCTTTATCTTTAACCTTTGGCATTTTAATTACGATGTGTTGTGGTGTGTTCCACTTTGGATCCAACTTGTTTGCAACTCTCTGTGCTTCCTGGACTTGTATGTCTATTTCTTCTGCCAAATTAGGGAAGTTCTCTTTCATTATTTTTCAATTAAGTTTTCAATTTCTTGCTCTTTGTCTTTTCCTTCTGGTACCCCAATGATTCAGACTTCGGTACAGTTAAAGTTGTCCCAGAGGTTCCTAAGCCTATTTTTTTTTTTTAATTCTTTTTTCCTTCCTGCGGTTCTGATTGAATGCTTTTTCCTTCCTAGTATTTCAAATCATTGATTTGATTCTCAGCTTTATACTCTCCACTTTATTTTACTTAATGCAACCATCATTTCTGTCTCCACCTTTTTTATGGCATTGAAGTACTTAGTGAGTTCCTGGAGCATCCTGATAACCAGTGTTTTGAGTTGTGCATGTGATATATTGCTTATCTCCATTTCATTAACTTCTTTCTTTGGAGTTTTGTTCTGTTCTTTCATTTAAGCCATATTTCTTTGTTTCCTCATTTTGGCAGCGTCCCTGTGTTTGTTTCTGTGTATTAGGTAGAACTGCTTTCACTCCCTGTCTTAGTGCACCTGTTAAGTTACATGGGGCGGAGCCTTAGGTTATTGTGAGGGTGAGGCAACCCATGTCACCACTCTGGTGCTCTGTGTGGTGGAGGTCTTGTGGTGGGGACAATGCCACCGCCTGGCCTCTGGAGTTTTGCCTGGGAGGACGTTGTCTTCCCACTCACATTTCACTTTCTATCCATAGGCCACTGGTGTCCTTCCAGCTGTTGCCCTTCTAGCTGTGCTGAATCTAAGAGTGGGTGGGTCTGCATGAGCCCTAAGTCTGTTGTAGGTTCTTTATTCTGCTATCCTAACCCCCACTGGTTTTTACAGACAGAAGTTATAGGGACATATCTTCCTGGTGCTGGGACCTGGCTAGGTGGTCTAAACTGGGGCTGGGATCCCTTGCTCCTGAGGTACCCCTCCCATTTTTTATCCAGAACACATGGATGTGGGACTGCCCGTTCCCGTCTCCGTGCCTCTGTGCCACTCGTCATCGCCACACCTCTCCGAGTTTCCACCCCTCCTCCCTGTCTGCATGAATGTAGCTTCTTTAAATCTTTGGTTATCAGACTTCCACACAGCTTGACTTTCTGGCAATTCTGGATGATATTTGTTTTGTAGTGTAGCTGTATTTTTTGCTATAGTTGTTCACAAATGAAAGGCATGCTTACCTACACTTCCATCTTGACTGGAAGTTCTCCAAAATGGTTTTGTAAACACACATTTTAAATAAAATTTTTCTAACACTTAGGTATAAATATAAAAACTATAAAAAATTCTTAGTCTTTACTGCAATAATATATAAGATGCATAAAAGATAGCTAAGTACAAATAACTGATAAAACTAAGATTTAAAAAATGAAATCACTGTTTGTCTATGATGGAAATCAGCAAAAACAAAAAGAGGCACACAATCATAAACCTTTCATGATAGTTACTGCTTTGGCCAAAATATATCAGAGCACCATATAAATTTCAGCTAAGTCACAAGTGAAACACTGTTAGGAAATAGGTATGGAAAATAAAAAGCCAATCTATGTTATACTCCAAACAATTTATAAACCAGGAAGAGATTTTCAAAATATAAAGGTGTTCAGTCACTGCTGGGATATTATGTAAAGCCCATGAAATAACCTTAGGTATTTTTTTAAATGGAGGTAAAAGGGGAATTATAAAAACCTGATATGTTGTCATATTCACGTTCTTGAACTGAAAATTGTGGGAAAAAATTCCCAAGCAAAGGAATATAAGTGGCTGATGTAATATTTTTTATTAAATTAGTGGACTAACTTCTAATAAGGAAGAACAGACAGAAAACTTGAACTTTGAGAGGTAAGCTGGAGACAGAGGGAGGGAAAGACTAACAAATGAAAAAAATTCACAAGGGAGGAAAAACAAATTATACAAATTTCAAACACAGACACACACAGCGTGAAAGCTCATCTGTGAAATAAGCTGAAGCATACAAAGACTAACTGTAAAATTTAAAGTACCTAATAAAGGGGTAAATAAATGAGGTTTTGAAACAAGCACCGAAAACAAATTCTATCTTATGTTATTTGTCCCTACCTACCAATAACTTCTTAAGTTATTAATTTTTAACTAATTTACAAACTGGAATACTAATTAAAAGTATGCTTTGGTATGGGGCTTATCTGATACACTTGAAAGTCACAGGAATCACAGTAAATAAAAAATATGCTTTAAGCAATATTATCTGGATAACCAAAATTTAACTAAGGTATGTCACTGTATTAATGATTTCAGTTTAAAAAAAGAATATATTAAATGGCAAGCATTACCAATCAGCATTTCTGTTACCAGTATTCCACATCACAGAACAGCATCATAAAAGTTTTCCATGAAATAAAGTCAGAAGTGCATGAAATCAACTGCCAGCACAATGATGGCCCCAGAGAGGATTTCTATTGTCCAAGATCCACATGAAATGTACAATTAAGTAGCCTACACTACTCACCTTGTCTTTGAAGATATGCGGATTTTGGTATACAAAATCCCGGTAACTTTCTGTTCGTATTTTGTCCTATGGTGGAGAGAGAAAATGTTGTATTTACAGAATAATCTAAACAAATAAAAAATGTTTTAGAAAATTCTTCCTATTTTATCACACATTGTTAGTTTCCATTGGTATTTTTTGCCTGAAAAAACCAAACTTAATTTTGTTTTCCTAAAAGAAAACTATAAGAACAGAAATAACACCACCACACACAAAAAGTTTAAGAACATCACTGAAAGTCAAATTAAATTCAAGTTATTTAAAATGTACACATTTTCATCTTGACATGCATCATCATAAGACTTTAACTGATATATAAAGCTAATATAAGATAAACAGGGTATTTTGTTCCTTTAAATAGGGTCTGGAATCTAGAGCCTGTCTCCCTGTATTAGAGTTGCATTAAAATACTGGAGGAAGAAAACCAAAACAGGTAAATGCAAAGTTGCAGTTAGATATGAAAAATGAAGCTTAAATTGAGTATGGTTTTTCTAAGAAAGTCATTTTTCAGCACCTATCTGATTTATAATCTTGGTTGGTCTGTAGAAGAAAATGAGGCTTAAAAGCCTATAAGCTTAAAAGTAAATCATTTGAGCCCTGCAGCCCACATTTTGAGATTTCTGTACTCATGACATGTAACCAAGACTGGCACTGAATGTTAACATTTATGATGGTTCATGAACTGAAGCTGATTTTCTTTTAAATTACCTCATTGAGACACATAAGGACAGCAGATTAAGCACCAAAGGGTTCAGCTGCCAAGTGAGTAAAATGAGTATGATAAAAATATCTCAGCCTGGGAATTCTAGTTTTGGGTTTCACACTATGTAAAACAAACAAACCCCAGAAAAACCCCCCCAAAACTAGTTACATCAAATACTACAATATAAAATTTATACAATCCATATATTCTTCCAAAAAACATTTATGTTCCAATATAGGGATTAAAATAAAACGATTGAAAGGAAGCCTCAAATTAAAAGACAAATGGTTCTATTTAATTACTGGATCTAAAAAGGGGGAATCCCATGCTTTTTGGTGGAATTATTACTAATGGCTTTACAACAAAATTTTAAATCAGGTTTATTAAATCTTTTCTTGAAAGAGTTTAAGGATTACTAGAAAATAAAAATTTTAAAAAATCTAATGTTTAAATAAGTTTATACATATTAACTAATTTTAAAACTTAAAATACATAGTGTTTCATACATCTTTATACTCTTCTTACACCATACCCAGTGAATTTTGCTGACACAATAAAACCGACAAGGGTTGAACATCAGTCAGGAAGGCAGTCACCTGGAAAGCGCTGGCCACTCACACTGCGTCACCACTGCTCCACCTCCATCATCAGCGTCCCCCTCCCGGCCTAAGTTCATGCACTGCTGCTCCACTCAACTGCAACCCTTCACCCAGCCTCTTTCTATACATCCTTGTTTTTGTCCGTATGCTCACGCTGGAGCAACAAAATCCAAAGCATATCTAACAGAGAGCCTCAGACAGAGCAGTTTCAACTTAAAAATTGAATTTTTGAAAGAAAAATCCATTAAATAAGAAAATGCAAGAAAATAAAACACTAGCCCTCATAACCATTTCTAAAAACTTATTCTAACAAGACTAACACTTTAATACAAAATAAGGTAGTAAACAGAAATTTTAAAATTGTCTTTTACACCAGCCTATTAAAACCAGGAAAAACAAACAAACAAAACAGAATAAAATTAGAGCTCCAATACTAAAAAGCAAGATAATCTTTTAAGACTGGTAAAGTATCATGAAATAATTCCTATGAATATAAAAAAATTTTTAAGAATAGGACTAAAGACAACAGGAAAGTTATATACTATAAATTTTACATATATAAATAACATTATGTTTTAAATGTATAGGCTAATGAAAGTGAACAGAATGCAGGAGTCAGCTGCAGATACAATGAGAAGACTGTAGTAAAAAAAAGTTATTTAATGGTTCTATGATTTGTGAAAAATGTTCACCAGAATGAACAATGTTTTTCTTGGAAAAAAAGAAAAAGAGAGCGTGGTACATCTCAGATTTACAAATTAGCCAACAATGACTCTTCTTCAGACAGACAAAGTGGCAAAGGATTTCAAAAGTTCATGTTATATATTCCTCTATTAACTGGAATTTTTAAAAAAATCATCCAAACTCCAGCAAATAAGATCATAAACTACCTTTATTTATAATCATAATCCTAACATATGTCAAAATAATGTCATTGAAATATCTGAGACTAGGCAACAAAAAAAAAAATCCAATATTCCTGTAAAAGAAAGGCCAATTCTAAACATAAAAAAAAGTCTTGTGTATATGGTTTCTCAATTTAAATTATTTATAAAGATCAGGTGAGATTCTAATAGTAGCAAAAACACAGACTATGTGCTAAGAAATGTTTTGATAAGAAGAAATACATAAAGCATATTCCATATTCATCTGTACTACATAACTTAGCAAAATATAAAATGGATAAACAGCTCTTTTTGAATGGAATATATGCATACTTCCTATGAATACTTAAGTCATCTCCAAGGAGAGAGAATCACATCATAAGGGGAACGAAGGCATAGAGAATTATATTAATAAGGATTTTTTTAGTGATTCTCTAAAGGAGAAAAGATAGCACTGCAAACTTCAGGCTGGAACAATAAATTATTTACAATAAATCTTTTACTGTACTGGGTACATCAAAAGGACTTAAACATATATGATCAGGTATAAAGATCTTTTAGTTACTGCTACATAGCTACAAGTATGCAGGACAGAGTATTGGAAATAAGTGCGCAAAGTGGACTTTCCTGATGATTGTGCTGAAGACATTCACATGTACTATGTACTGGAAGTCTCAACCTTATCTGTCTGGAACATGGAACACAATTTCTATACCAAAGGCATTAAAGGTTCATGGCATTTATATTGATGAGGTGACTTAAAATGACAAACATGGGCTTAGATTAACTCCTTCAAAGAAAATATTCTAGACACAAAATTATTTTAATTTTAACAAAAATACCTACGTGTCCATTTACTTTAAACAATTTCACTCTAGACTTAATGTATTACTTATAAGATAACTGTTATTTGTAACGCTATGCCATTACCCAGGTGACAACAAAAACCACAACCGTGACATGTCATTAGTAAAAAAAAAATATGACATGGCACTGTTTTAAAAGACCTTGTTTTAAAAGATGGAACTAGAGAGCATTATGCTAAGCGAAATAAGCCAGGGGCGAAAGACAAATACCATATGATCTCACCTATAAGCGGAACCTAACCAACAATACAAAGATGCAAGGAAAATATGACCAGCAACACTGAAAGGAAAAGAAATCAACAGAGACAAGAGGGAAGGAGGGAGGGGCGGACAGGGAAAGGGAAGGGAAGGGGAAAGTCAAGGAACATATAGCAAGGACTCATGGACAAAACCAAAGGGGAAGAGCTGAGGGAGGGAAGGAGGGAGGGGACAAGGGAAAGTGGTGGGGGGTAGGCAGAGACAAATGTATTTAAAAATAAAGAAAGAAAGAAAGAAATGCTTGGGGGGAAAAAAAAAGAATCTTTCATTTGTTCTATATAAAATAAATAAATAAATAAATAAATAAAAGACCTTAAGTAATTACGATTATTATTAATCAGCAGACCTTCACTCTTTGGTTCTACAAAACTGAATAAACAAAATATATATATATGTTATTAAATCCCCAGGTTATTTTAAATGCATATGTTTCAGGGGAACATAGTCTTAGGGCTTCCATAAGATAAAATATTCTTTTGAGAAAGCATTTAGGAAGGAATATTTTGTTTGTTTGCTTCAAGAAAAGGTAGTGGCATCTAAAATTCACAAATAAACATCTAAAATTTCCAATAATTTTTAAATTCCAATATGTTTAACTCTAGTTAGATAATTTCAGTTTTATGGAATTAAAAAAATTACATCTTGTTATTTTACAATCTATAATATATGATAAAATGTATAATCACCAGGTATAACTAGAAATCAACTTGTATTTTATATGGACATTACCATTATAAAAATTAAAGCCAACCAAGCTTAAATACCTGATTTAACCAATTCAGAAAACTCCTCCATTTATCAATGATTTCAAATGTAAAAAAGTTATGTCATAACAATTGAGAATTATTTACAATAAAACTTTGTACCAAAGAATTATTTGCTCAAACTGAAGTCAGTACAGCTATTTAAAATACTAAAATTAATCATGTCCTTTGTACATTTAAAGACAAATGTATAATTTATTAATTCCTATTTAATAGTTGCTCTTGAGAAGACTAAAATTATCAGTTTTTTTAACCAATGTTTTATTTAAAGCAAAAGTAATTCCATAATAAAGATTAATACTAATGATCTTAAACAGAATTTAAATGCCTTTGATGCTTCTGTAATCTTTTCAATCCAAGATAAGCAATCAAGCACCAAAGAGATTTAAAAATGACTTTTTTAAAAAAAAAGAGCAGTCCTACAGCATATGTGTTAAGAACCAGTTTTATTAAATGTTTCCTTTAGTATGGATTTGGTGCATTTGTGCTCTTTTCTAACCTTTAGCATTTCTTCATGTATCCCATAATGCCCGTATGAGCTGAAATAAACACCATCCTCATCCTCCTGGAGGTCTGCAATGGCAGTAGAAGATGCTGACCAGGTTCTGACATCTGCGTTCATCACAAAATCCTGAGCAAATTGTCTGTAATCAATTTGAAATACACCCTTGAGACAGGTTTATTGGACCATGAAAAAAGGAAAGGCTAGAGGTGGAGGAAGAGGAAGGGGGCGGGAGTGGAGTGTGGAGTGTGATGAGCCTTCTAAAGCACCTTCTATCTTAAGCAACTGAAAGCTCCCCCTGCTGGATCTTAGGCAATGGCATAGTCAAACCCAGTTGTAAGCATTCCTTCTGCAAACCACAAAAGCACTGCCGCCTTTCAACTGGGTAAAATAAGCACATTACTTTTATTCAACTTTATTAGTAGTATTCTAAAACTTTATTTTAGTAGCTGAATCATATAGTACTATATTTCAACACTATTCTTTAAAACGTATTTTCTCATCAAAGGGTATATGGGCAGAAAGTGGACCCAAATTGAGATTTACATATACCAACACCATCCATTCCAGCTCCAGAACTTAGTTCCCTCTTTATTCACAACATATTAAGAACATATAAAGTATGCATGGAGAGAAGTGCAAAGATATAGATAGTACCGTTGTTGGTGGTTACTAGGTTACCCAGCATATAATCTCACAAACAGGGAAGGGGAACTACAATCAGCTATACTATCCTTTCTGCTGAATGTTCTGGCAAACTAACAAATGGGTACTCACAAATCCAATACATAAAGCTAGGGTTATACTTGGTAGAAAGGCAGAATCTCTGGCCCTAGTCCAGAACTCCTGAATCAGAATCTACAGTTTAACAAGATCCCAGGTGATTTACATGCACATTAAACTCTGAGAAGTACTAAGCCAGTAGGATGATTATTTACTCACTGGAAAAACCATCTATGTATCTGGTTTCCTAATAAAATATTATACCATAATTACATTTTGATTCTTTGAAAACAAAAATGTTAATTCCGTATTTCACCCAAACCTAAAAATATTAATCCCACCACTTAAAAGCCTAGGAGAGGAAAAGTAAAATGGAGAAATCTACTAGAAACAGGGTAATTAAAAGGAAGGCAGTATCAAAGAACCAAAACACTTAACTCCCCAGAGCAATTAACATTACTATAAAATTATAAAGAAGTATATGAGAAGAGTTGAAACTACAGAATTTTATGCTAACTGATGTCTACAATGTATAAAAATGTTGTTGCATATCTTTAGTATATTAAAATTAAATATCTACATTGTACTTTCCAGTATGTGAAATGTTTTACCATATTCTGTCTTAATATTAGTTGCATTATTTTTTAGGTCTAATAATTAATTTTCTAAAAGACTGACAAATTACTTCATTCTTTGCAGATCTTCACGCGCTCTAGCTAACGCAGCTTCAGCAGACAGTGCCCTGGATTCCATGTGTTTCAGTTTTTCAACAACAGAGGTATTTTCACTGAGTCCATTGGGGAATGAGAAGGGGACTGACACTGGTTCATAAAGATCTTCAACATCTAAAGGAACAAATGGAAATTATCAGGCCATCTTATAACAATGAAGGACATATAAATGTTAGGAATAAAAAAAGGGTGTGGCAAAAGTGGGTTTACAGTTGTGAGCATGCAAAATACAGTTTATTCTTGTATTATTTTCCATATTAACAACTGTAAACCTACCTTTCCCCCACCTTGTATATATTAATTGCCTGTTACACAGCAAACTAAAAAAAATGGTAAAAGTACTTTAAGTTAAATAAATATATAACATTCAAATTATTTTAATTTGAATTTAAAGGGCATGCTGTTAGCCTAAGTTTTTTATTAATTAGCTAAATTAAACACCTATCCAAGCATTAATTATACTGAACCAAACACAGGAAGAAACAAAAAAGTGGAAGGAAAAAAAACCCTAATACTTATTGATCACCAGCTATCTTTCAAATATATGCATTGCATCTCAGTTCATCCTCAAAACAAGCCTGAGAGGTAAATAATTATCCCTATTTTAAGCTATGGGAAAAATAAATTTCAGAAAAGTTAAGTGACTAGCCCAAAGTTATACAGCTGTTTAATGAAGAAACTAAGATTCAAACTCATACCTGCCTTGATCACTTGGTTGCAGTAGTGTTGACTAGATTTCTCCACTAAAAGTTAACATCTCCTTTGTAGTTAATACTTTCTTGGGAAGATATTTTGAACTATGCAAATCATGTTTCACCTTAAATTTTTGTCCCCTTAAAATTGTCAAGGTCACGAAAAATAAGGAAAGCCTAAGAAACTGTCATAGCCAAGAAGGGCTTGAGGAGACAGGACAACTGAATGTAGAATGGCACCCTAGAGGAGATCTTGGAACAGAAAAGGGAGAGTAGGGAAAAACTAATGCAGTCTAAGTAAATAAAATGGAGTGTACTTACTTTTTTTAAAGTATAGTATAATATTTGAAACACAGTCCACAAAGGGTGTTCATCTTACCAAACTGAAGTAAAAGATCATCTTCTAATACTGGCTTCAAATACTCTTCTTTTTCCCAAGGCACTGGGTTGTATATGGAATTCATATACTCAACTGTAGGATTCTGGATGTAAAATTAATTGCATGTTTTTTTTACTGCATATAATCACAAAATCACCCTAGCAAAAACTAGGAAAATTAAACAAAAAGGAAATCATGTCTACACTACACAAAATTTCTATCTAAGAAGTTTATGTTCAACTGTCATTTTGTTAACTTGATTGGATGATTGCTTAATCAATGGTTTCAATGCACAATTTTATATTGTTTGGGTATGGAAGAAGTGGCAATATAAACACTCATTTGAATAGAACATAAAAAAGGACGAAGTATTTGAACAATAGAACAAAGAGAGCAACCACAGTACTTGAAATCACACTATAAATTATTTCTGACTTTACAGAAACACTAACAGTATTTCTCATCATCTGGCTCTGAATTACTTTTTTTATGTAACACTGATTCATCTCTTAGAGGCAGTTAAAAATGACACATTAAGCATGGTATGTATCCATTTACTTGGTACTATATACTATGGCATTTCCTAATGTCCCTGATTCCAATGTGATGACTGACAAATTTAAAGCAGTTTTTATTGTAGTTCCTTGCATTCTTTTAATCATCACTGGTAGTGGCATTACTTTAGTTTCAAAACAAAATTGTAAACTAAGCTACTAACTTACCTTAAGTCTAATAAAATTTATCAGTTTAATGTATCCATAAAATTCAAGTCCTAAAGGGGAAAAAAAAAGACAATTTACCTATTTTAACATGAGCTTTATTTAACGGACCTGTTCTATAGAGGCTTCTCTGGTTAGACAATAAAATACTTCTGTCCTCTACAGTACAACTTATAATTTTTTAAATTTTTTAAGAACTAGAATGGGTAACTTTGATGCTTCTAATATTTTAATTGAGAAACAGCCAGCATAGATGACAATTTTCAAAATGTTTTTGTTGCATTTCTAAAATATGGGAAATTAATTTTTAGAATTCTCCTCATTTCTAAGAACAACACAAATCAGGAAAATTAGGTCATAGACTCTGCCAAGTATTAGAGCTGAAAGTTTTTTCATCCCCAATTTTTACAGTGCTTACCAAACTATAATTTTGCCAGGACATGGAGTATACAAAATATACTAGCTTTAATACAGAGTTAACTGATGTAAATTGAAAAACAATGAGGCTTGTTATTTGGTTCTCATATCTTTCCAGAAATGAGGCAGCATTTAAAACAAGGGAAAACAACAGCATATCCAACTGTTTATTATTTCTCCTGAGAAATGTTGTTATGAGGAACACAATGGCATACAAAATGTTTCATATGCATAATAGCATACAAAACCGATATTTGATAAGTGAAAAATATAGTTATATTTTAAGTATGATTCCAATTCAATTTCAAAATGCACATTAAAAATATGAAAAAAATCCATTGAGACTAAGTCACCCATGCCTTACAAAGGAATTGTACTTAATTTATAATTTATTAACATATTACATCACACATTTATCTAATCCCATTCGCAGTTATTAATAATTACAGGAACCAAAAAAACAATTCGGTATTTAATTCTAGTGGAACAGTGCAGGTCTTCCATATCCATTTAAAGAGGTGGAAGGGCTTTAATTGTAAACTCGGTATGTTTAAATACAAATTTCAAAAGAATCATCATCCAAGTATTTTGCTTACTACCTTAGTTTCATCAATCCTTTTTCTATACTTTTTTACCAAACTCCCTATAAAACTCAACCTTGTATGCCTTGAAGTTCATGTTGTGTTCTGACCTGGTAATTTGTCTTTTTTCATAATGTCCCACCTCCTTTTCCAAAGTCCACCTTTATGCTTGCTCTCCCTAATTCTACTATGATAAAAATGCAATCATATGCAGGGTTTTTCCTTTTTAGTTGTGAAGTCAATAAAAGCTTAAATACAATGAATCTTATCTAGAAAAATGACATTGAACCTTTCCTCAAGAGCCACTGTCAAAGATCAGATGTTGCTGTATGTTTCACTGTGCTGGATTTGTTTAGAAAAGGAAAGGTCTGGAAAAATACAAAGTTGAAACTTAAGTTTCACAACTAAAATTTTCCCATTCTAAAAAGTACTCACCATGTTTATGGACCATGGTATCAATATTAAATTGATGCTCAGACTTACAGTGTGAAAAAGTTTCTTCAGCAGAGGTAAATAACCTGAAAAACCAAGCAATAGCTTCATGAAAAAGTCCCCAAGAAGCCTACATATTGATGTCTTGCTATATATACATCCCGCCTCCCCCAAATCTGCTGGTTTCTAGCTTTATTTCCAATTAAGAGAAAACAAACATCTGTGGATATCAAGAACCTAGAACTTCTAAAGGGAATTACTACTTATGAGTTCCATTTTACACCTAAAATAAACCAACTACCCATTAAACATCAAAGGTAATTTATTTGCCAATTAATAGCACTGAATTTATCAAAAGAATGTGAAGAAAGAGAACTCCCTTTGACAGATTCTGTTTCGCTCAAGATATGAAAACTCCCCGTGTAAGATTTTTTTCCTCTAAGTGTCAACTCTGCTTTTGGAGGCTTTGCACCGGCAAAGCTCAAACTACTTTCAGAAATAAAGGCATAAAACGTAATTTTACAGCTGGCATATTCCCACAGTGCCGTTATTTCAAAGGTGATCTTTGTAGTGTTACCAAAGTACCTGCATTACAGACAGCGTGAGGATCAAGCCTCTTTAGTATGTGACCCCCAAAAGTAAAGGACAAGGCAGGAATACACAGCAAAGAAGCTGCATACCTCTTTTATATGCCTAGCACATATGCAGCAGTTAGCTTTCAACAAATGTTTGCCAAGATAGGTCATTTTTGCAGTATTGATGCAGCCTATCACAAAGAAGTACATCTTGATGCTCAATAAATTTTACGACATCTGAAGTATGTGCAGACATTCTATACCCACCCAAAGGAGGCTGTATGTGAGAACAATGACCTATCAAGAGGAACTAATATAGCACCAACAAGCACTCTGACCAGATTTAAGGGAAACTGGAAAATGTTTATTAAAGGGACCCTGGCCAACACCAACCAGGCTTCTTTCATGCCCATTTACCAGGACAGCAGCCAAAGTCAACACTTGTTGAGGTGAAGAGGCAGAATTTAAGTGGAAAGAACATGGACTTGGATATGACAAACCACAGCTTTGTGACCTTGAAAAGTTAGTGATATCACAGCCCCTTTTAACCTAAGTGAAAAGGCATCAGTTCCTTCCTCTTCAATAGGTGGGTAGCCCTGCCTCAGAGAGGTAATTCTTAAGTGGTTCAAATGCAGTATTACACCTGAGAAGCTCTCTACATGTCAAGAGAATTATAGAAAGGTAAAGCTGGAAGGGTCCTCAGAGATTATTTAGTTCTGTGACTCCGAAACTTGTTATTCATTACAATCACCTGAGATAGTGCCTTTATAAAAGATTCCTGGACCCCAATCCTGACTTAGAAGGGCTGTGGTGCAGAGTTCAGCATCTGTATTTTTTTAATAAGCGTCTCAGGTGACAAAGATGCACAGATCCAGTCCAAAACCCTATTATTTTACACTCGGGGAAACTGAGCCCTGTCAAGACAACCTGGCTTGCAAGTTCATGGCTGCTCCCTTTATACCACTTAGGGTCTTCAACAAGCCCTCACTCCAAACCACTGCTTGGAGAACTCGAGAATAGGCCACTCTGATTCCAGCCGAGCAGACCACACAGACGCACGCTGCCGGGCCCCTTGGGCTGGAGCCTAGCGCTGAGATGGACGAACCTGTCACAGAACAGGCAGGGGGTCTGCTGTTTGTCGTGGAAGGGCTCAGCATCGTCCTCATCCTCCCAGGCGACCTCGTCCCCGCTGTCTGACAGATCTGGCAGGTCCTCCTCATCCTCCACAGCGCCCCGGCCGCCTAGCACAAGCAAATGATCAGATCCGCTCAGGGCGCCAGTGCGAACCCAGCGCTCGAGGAGGAGGGTGGGGAGAACGCTTTACTACTGGGGAGCGCTGTCTGCGTCCCGCTCCCCGGCGGCCCTCACCAGCATCTCCCCCACCCTCCCTGCAAGGCCCCATCGCCCGGGCTCCGCGTCCCGGAGCGCGCAGGGGGAGGAAAGGGTCTTTCACCGGCCCCACGGTGGCGCGGCCTGGGGGCTGGCAGAGCTGGGTGCTCAGGGACCGGGGATACCCACCGGTAGCGCCCGACGCTAACGAGCACATGGCTGTGGTACCCCGGGAGCCAGGCGTGCTAGGGGCGGGGACCTGGCTGAGATGAGCGCGCGGACGCCGCGGAACTCTCGTAACCGGGACCGGGAACGAGAACGAGCGCGAGCACGAGCACGCAGCAGGGCAGGGGTTTAGGGAAACTTCAAGGGCGTCTAGAAACGCGAGAACGCGCGCGCTGGCTCCCGTAGTCTTCCGGTCCCAGACAAGGGTGTTGGTCACGTGAACATGGGTGGGCGGGGCGAAAGCCCGGGCTCTGCCTCTTCCTTCTGCCGCAGGGTTGACGCACTGCGAGCCGACTAAGCATTGAAAAGAAGTCTGAGCGTTTGAGGCTTGGCCACGTGTTTTGCTTTCCCCACCGGCTTCCTAAGGTAGTGGGAGGTCCTTGTCCTGGGCCCTGCTCCCAGAGGTGGTGAGAGCCTGCAGTCGTTTTGCAGTCGGCACTACGCCCTCGGAGCTGGCGGAAGACCTGCCCGCTGCGCCCCCTGGTGGTGGTGGAGGCAGAACGAAGGCAGGAGCCGAGGACTCCTCTGGTTCCTGGGCTCCCTGATACCCCTGGGATAAAGCTGGGGAGAGGGAAGTGCAAGGGCCAGTGTGGGTGTACTAGAGACCAGTTGGGGCCAAAACTTCGTGGGCTTAAGGATTTGAGTCTTTAAGCAAGGGAATGATACTGTCAGGTGGGTACAGGGGTGTCCAACCTTTTGGCATCACTGGGCCACACATTAAATGCATAAACACCTATGAAAACTGATGAGCAAAATAAAGGCTGTAAGTTTAGAATTTTGTGTCAGTCTGCATTCATAGTCATCCTGGGCCATACGCAGCCCATGGACTGTGGGTTGGACACTCCTGGAACTTAGTAACATTTTGGCTGCTGTGTGGGAAGAACACAAACCTTCCAATGCCTCATATCTTTCTTCCCTTCCCAGCAGCTATTCAAACCATAGGCTGCTTTGTTATATGGGAATGGGCAGCAGTAGTTTCAGTAGGTAATGTCCCAAACTCTCCTTCCAGAGGCTGCCACGGCCTACCAGGCTCTACGTAATCCTGCCTAATGTTCTATCTCAACTCAACCCTTCACCTTGGGCCCCAACCTCCAGCCTTTCATCTGGACTCATCATTTTTCCATCTCCAGACTTCTGTAAGAATAATCTATAAATGGGTAGGTACTTTTTTCTTGGCACGAAGTTTCTCAAACCACCATTTCTAAAGTAAGTTCCACTGTCATTCCAGCAGCCTCCTGTAAGTTTCATTCTTAGCACCTACCTTTGCTGTTTCTCTCTCTCACTTTTTTGGTGTTACCTATAACTTTATTTGCACCATGAGGGTAAGGCCATGTCTCTTTACTTTCATTTCTCTGGCATACTACATATGGCCTAACTCATAATAGGTAATCAAAAAATACGCTGAATGAAACAGGTGCCTTGAATTAACGCGAAACTTCTGAATGTACATCTGTCCCTTAACTGTAAACTCCAAGAGGACAGAATCCATCAACTATTAGTTTTGAAGCCCCTTATATTGTAGGATATTGCCAGAGCATATGCTGGCTCTGTCCGGTTAGACGTGTTCACTGATATCCACACTGCCTATGTGCCCCATGGCACCTAGGAGCCATTTAATACACTGAATGAATTCAAGGTCTTTCATTACTGAGAACCATCCAAATTTTATTCATCCTTCCAATAAAACTCAAGCAAGGCCCATCTTCTGTCAGTATAACATTTAAAGGGAAATCCACTAAATGCCTCAGTAACACCCAATTCAATGTTAACAGTAAAAAAAGGAACATCCATTTTAGAGGGGTGAGTGAGCCAGAATCTTGTCCCGTAAAGCTTGTTTTGCCATACTGGTGGGCTTGGGAGAGAGTAGATTTTTTCTCTGCCTTAAAGATGAGCACAAACCCTCCCCTATCATCCCACTCACTCTTAAGACCAGAATAGAATGTTGAACAAGACCTGACAGAAGATTTGTGGGCAAGGAAATAATATACAGAAAATAACACTGGTCACCGGGTTTAGCTGCCATTATTTCAAACCTCACTTCTTAAAGCCCATCCTTGTTATCACCCAAAGACACAGGCTCTTCAGCATCCAACCCCAAAGGAACCCCACCTGGCAGGAGGAATATGTCCCATCTCCAACCTAAAGCCCAGTAGCCTTTATCCTCCAGTGTCCACTGAAGTTTGAAATGTACTTGGCATACTGTAGACCCTGTAAAAGTTGACTGAATAACTCCAATAACTTTGTTTCCACCAATACAAACAAAAAAAGTTTCACCACCATCCCTTCTTCCATGATGGAAGTTATTCCTGTGGGCTCCTCTTGACTTCTGCATCTTCCTTTCCCATAGTTTTCATATTGCAGCACTTTGAGATGTCCTTTTACTGGCTATGTGAACATTCTGTGGTTAATCATTATAGGGATCCTAAGCCAATGGAGAAACCTACATATTTCTATTTAATTCATCCACAGCATGTACTGATTAAGTGGGACTTCCTGGAATCATACAGATACTGGACACTCTTGCAGAGTGGTTAAGAATACAAAGTTATGGCATCAGGCTGACTTGGGTTAGAATGATGGCTCTGCCATTTTCTAGCTTCAGGTCTTTAGCTTTGGCCTCTTGACAAGGCACTTAACTACAGCGAGCCTCAGTTTCCCCCATCTAGAATATGAGGATGATAGTGTAACCACAGAACCTGGTCCTACCCTGTTTCTAACAAGACCCAGAACCAAAGTTTAAACTTTGAATACACCACCTATGAGTAATACTTGTGAAACACAACACACCAGTAACACTTGTGAACCCTACTACCCCTTAAAGCCCCACCCAGATTTAAACTTTGCTTGCTGTTTTCTTGACAAGCAAATAAAGCTCCTTTCTTTTCTCAAAAGCCAGTGCTGTAGTTTGGCTTCTATGTGTGGTAGGCGATGAACCCTTGTTTGGTAACAGTAGTACCATCTATAAGGATTATTTGGGGGAGCAGGTGGTTAAAGGACAGATAGCAGGTGTGAAGGCTGGCACTTAGCAATCACTTGACAAATATTAACTGCTTTTATATCATCCTATTGGCCAAAATATTGCATTTTACCACTGATACTTGGAACAGTCTAACAGGCACTGAGGAGTTGTCTATATATTTTTATTCCTTTCTTTAATTATCCCATGAATTATATAAGCTCAATTATTATATATTCTAACAGAGTAGTAAGGCACAATGTTCACTTGAACAATTATATGCAGTCAGCCCTGGGTAACTTGGAGACATGTCAACAGTCTTAGAACAGATCTCATCTGCTACAGAAGGTCTGCCCTGCTCCTGTCACTCTGCAGACAAGCATTTCAACGCTGGCTTCCCACCAGTGGCACCAGAGTCTCCGGCGGAAGCTGAAACAAAACAATCAATTCCTGTGCCCATACCCCCAAATTCAAACACGAAGCTCTGTGTTTGAAAATTTCCCTGGGTGACGTACAGTTGACCCTTGAACAACGTGTGGTTGGGGTGCCACCCCAGTGCAGTTGAAAATTTGCATGTAACTTTTGACCTCAGAGCCACAGGTTTTACACCCACAGATGACACCAACTGTGGACTGAAAATAATATTTTTGATCTGAGATTGGGAATTGGTGGATGCAGAGAGCCAGCTGTACTAATAATAGCCTATTATTGACCAGAGTCTTCCCAATGACATAAACAGCAATAAACATTTTGTATGTTATATGTATTATATACTGTATTCTTACAATAAAGGTAAGGAAAATTTAGTAAGAAAAATGTAAGGAATGGAAAATACATTTACAGTATTGAAAATATTCAAGTGTAAGTGGAACTGAACAGTTCAGACCCATGTTGTTCACGGGTCAATTGTATACATATGTACAGCCAGGCTCTGAACTGCTGATGCAGAACACGGTCATTTTTTAATTGCACCTGGTCAGCTGAAAGTGGTGAAATCATGGTAAAGTACTCTTTTTTTAGACCCTCAAATTAGTGATTAGGTGGGTGCTGGGTTTTATAAAAAAGCATTTCTCAGGTGTGATCATGGCTTAAGAGAACCATCGACTTTCCCCAGGTCATGGATGGCTTTGTTGTCTAGCAGTTCTTTCTTCCTGTCACTTGGTCTCACTGTGTTGCTCAACATCGCTCTAACCAGAGTCACCACTGGAACAGAGTGCCCGCTGGCCCAAGATTCTGGTAAGGAGCCAAAGAATTTCCTCAGCAACCATTCAGCTGGACGAGATTCTTGTCTATCACATAACAGAAATCTAAAGAGAGAGAGAAAAAAAAGCAGACTAAGAGATGGTAAATTGCATTCAGATCATAGAAGGTATGAATGACTAAGCTGTGTCTCCCCAAAATTCATGATGAAACCCCAACCCCCAGTGTACTTGTATATGAGGACAGTGCCTTTAGGAAGGTACTTAAGGATGGGACCCTAATCTGACAGAGCTGGTGTCCTTACAGAGGAGGAAGAGATACAGACATCTCTCTCCCCACACGCACACCGAGGAAAGCCGTGTGAAGACGCAGACAGGAGGCGAGCTACTAGCCAGGAAGAGACACCTCACCACACACTAACCCTGAAGCCATCTTGATCTTGGACTTCTAGTCTCTGGAATCGTGAGAAAATGAATTTTTGTTGTTTAAGACACTCAGCACATGCTGTTATTCTATTATGGCAACCTGAGCAGACTAACAAAGTGGGTAAAAGATTTTCTTTGGTGCATAAAGAGGGTTTTTTAAAAGAAAGCAGCAAAAGCTACCAGGAAAATTCCATCCTATTCTGAACTTGGCACCACCAACTGTCTACTCCCTCCTTCAAAGCCAAAAGGTGGATTCTTCAGAGAAAAATGCACCTCCAGCCAACTTCTTTAATGTCTTAGAAATCTTAGTTGTCAGCCTCTCCAAATGAAAAACTACCTTCTAGGGAATAACCAATAGTGGTGTACTCTAAGGCAGTGTGAAACTCACCCAGGCCTAAATATGGAGTAACGATCAAATTTTAATTCTTCCACTCTGTCTTCTACTTCTCCCTGTTTAAAAAAAAACACCACACTTTTAATATTTAATCAACACCAACTTACTATAATGCTTATGAGAGAATAACTTGGGGTTTTGAAGATGATCTGCTTCTGCGGGTCTCAATAGAATTGACCCTTGACCAACACAGGTTTCAACTGCATGGGTCCACTTATACATGGATTTTCTCAATAGACCCACACAGTTCAAACCCACACTTTTCAAGGGTCACTCCAATGTTTTAAGGAATCCACCATCCACATATATGGAGGGTGAACTATAGTTATACACAGACTTTTGACTGGTGGGAGGTCAGCACCCCTAAGCCCCATCTTGTTCAAGAATCCACTGTCCTTGCAAATATCCTTATCTAGATTTTTAGATGCCAAAGAGTCTGGGAAGTTAAGGCAGAGACCATTTAACCCTGATATGCAGTAGAGTTAAAAAAAAAAAAAAAAAAAAAAAAAAAAAAAAAAAGATGTACTGAACGACTGAATGTCTGCATAGTCACCTAGCCTCTCATTTGACTGATATTAAAACAGACCCAGAGAGAATAAGTGACATGTTAGGAGTTCAACCGTAAGAGAATAACCTCCTCTTAGTCCAGAATTAATGTTGCAGACTGGGAGACAGTAACCGTTTTTGGTTTCCAGTAATTCCAATGGGTCAGAAGACAGACCCAGAGACCCTCTCTGTTATTCATTTCCTCACAAACCCCTCCAAATGTTAAGAGGCCGTGAGATTACATCTAGATGATGCTTTAAATTAAATGCATTAAACAAACCATGAATTTTCTGAGCCAGGCATCTCTATGAACAGCAATGCCAGAGGAGCCCAGTCCCAGGCACGTCTGATGTCTAAAAGACTGGTGAATTAAGCAGCATGCTCTCCTCCTCCTCCTTGGCCTGTGCATACCATTCATTTGGCAATGAACCTGTCACATCCTACAATCTTAGGTAAAACATTTTTTAAATTAATGTTTAGTCTATTCATAGAGTTGTGCCACCTTTATCCTCAATCTTACAATATTTCATCACCCCAAAAGGAAAACCCAGTACCAAGTAGCACTCATTCCCATCCCTCTGAGCCCTAGTCAAGCACTAATCTTTCTGTCTCTAGTGACGTGCCTATTCTGGACATGTCATATAAATGGAATCATACTCATTGTGGCTTTTTGTGACTAGCCTGTCTCATTTAGCATAATGTTTTCAAGGTTCACCCATGTTGTAGCATTTATCATTCCTTTCTATGGATGAATAATATTTTGTAGGTATGTATCACATTTTATCCATCCATTCATCAGCTCATGGATATTTGGGTTGTTTCCACTCTAGCTCTTAGGAATGATGCTTCTATGAACATTCAGATATAAGTTGCTACGTGGACAGTTTTCTTAGCTTTTTACAAAGATGTGTTTTGTCTCTATTAGCAGTGTGCATAAGAGTTAACACAGCAGGTTGAGGCTACTATTTTAGAAAAAATCTTGCTTGCAAAGTTGGCCTTTGTCTTGGGAATTTGGACTTCAGGAGTGTTCCTGTCACTACCTAACTGACATGGGTAGTTTACTGTGCCCAAACTATTTGTACAAACAATATGGTTTATGCAGAACACTTGCTTTGCTTCTGGAAGTCCTTAATTTTTTCTCAGCTGAGGGTACCTATGTGACTGACCCCATAAAAACCCTGGACTCCTGAGCTCAGGCGAAGTTCCCTGGTAGACAGAACTCACTGCGGAAGAAATTAAGCATATGCACCTCCACTGGGAGAGAACTCTTGGAAGCTTGTACCTAGTTTCTTCCAGATTTCACTCCATGCACTTTACTAACTTTGCTTTATAGCCTTTCACTGTAATAAATCATAGCATGAGTATGACTATATTCTGAGTCCTGTGAGACCTTCTAGCAAATTACTGACCTTAAGGATCCTCCAACACAAACTTATTATAAATTTCTTAAGGACAAGAACCATACACAATAATAAAATATGATCTACTTTGGAAAAGTTTAAGAAACACTGTCTCATAGTCTCTTCTAATGTTAAGATTCCTTGCTGATTCCAAGTCCAGAGCTGCCCTATATCATTTCATGATTACTAGATAATCAACAGGGAGTAAGACACTGAAAATTATCTTTCAAATCCCTCCTATTTACTACATATATCCATGCAAAAACAGTCCCTGTAGCTATAAAAATGTGTAATATAATGCAATTAGTGCATGTCTGTATTATTTAGCATTCTATATTATTTACTACTGCCAATTATATAGGATTCTCCAGTGTATATAAAAAAATATGTACAAACCTTAACTTGCAAAAATAAAATACTGCTTGACTTGTCAGCTCCTTTGGAGGACAGCAAGTTGAAATGTTTGCACCCTCCAGCTTTTGCCAGCTCTGCAGATTTCAGGACATAATCTCGATCAACACGAACAAACCCCTCCTGAGGGGGAAAAGAAGATGAGTTATTTCCAAAATGCTGTAAGTTCACCTTAAAAACTACTACTCAGCTTGGGTGGCAGGCTAGGAGGCCTGGCAGGGTGTGGGGTGTAGGTCTAAATAAAATGCATCCAAGCAATACATGAATGTCAGGCTTAGGCTCTGGGAAAGTCTCCAAGTATCATCCCTAGGATAGACTACCAGCACTAGCAGCAGGTCCAGAATGCAACAAAAAATCAAATACAATGAATGAACTGGGTTTTTTTTTCCTGGTTTAAAAAAATTAAAAAACAAACAAAATGACATTGAAACACAGACACCAAACAAATCAGCAAGGAGCAAGGGGAACAATGAAATCAGTCTGTGAAACTGCTTTGAGTCACACATTTCTTTGTCTTTTAATAATTTTACAACATTACAGCCACCTCTCTGTTTTCTCTATTCTTTTCTGTGTCAACTCTTAACATGGTAGGGTCTCAAAGCAGGCTAAGAACACTAACCAAACACTATGAGAACAGTCTGTTTAATCTCCAATTTTTGCGTATGTTTTACAACATACTTTACATATTAGCAAAAAGTGCGTCCTCAAATTTTTTTACTGACAGGTGTATAATCAAGCATCTTTATAGACCCCAGTCTAGACTCCATCTATTGAGGGTAGTGGTTTGGTCTTCCTTCCAAATTCACATCTCATCATTAAGTACATTCCCAGCACATGGTAGGTGCTCCAAAAATATTTGAATATATAAATAAAAGTCCAATGAAAGCAGAGTAAAGGCAAACCCAATTAGAAAAGAAAAGAACTAAGAGGCAACAAAAGGAGGAAGGGAGAGGATGGTGTAAACAACAGAATACAGACTCATTTCCAGGGCCTCACTGAAGGTCATGTGCCTATCCCCACCCAGACAAGGGAGTTCCATGTAGTAACGTTTCTTGGGACCACCAAATATCTGGCATCCTCAAACTCAAGACGGCTGAAGGGAAGTCTGAAGTCTACCAAAGCTGAACTTCATAGGTACCCACAATTATGTAAATGAGGTTTTATATCATGAGGATTCTAAATCTGTAGGTTGATTGCTGCCCCAATGATTTTTTAAATTAAAATTTTGCCCTACGGTAGTAAATGGTCCTAAATGTTTTATTTCGTATGGAGATGTGGACCCTTCATAGAATGTTAGAAGCATCACCTGAGGAAACATTACATCCAACCCCCTCATTATGGAGATGTGAAAACAAGGTCTAGCTCTCTGGTGAACTGCTGGCTAATAAGAGAGAGCTGAGAGCAGAGTGCAAATTGTACTCACTGTTCCTTCTTATCTCACACTATCTCTAGCTAACAAACATGACTAATTCATACTTGGGGTAGGCAAAACAGTGGCCCCTCCAAGATGTCCACTTCCTAATTCCCGCACCTGTGAATATGTCAGGTTACACAGCAAAGATACAGAAGGTGGAAAAAATGGAGAGAGAGGTTTGGGGGATGGGTGAAAAGCTGAAGGGATTAAGATGTACAAGTAGCCAGATATAAAAATAGTCATGGAGATGAGAAGTACAGCATGGGAATATAGTGAATAATATTGTAATAATTACCTATGGTGTCCGATGGGTACTAGACTTAGAGCGGTCACCTTGTAAGCTATATAAATGTCTAATCACTATATTGTACACCTTAAACTAATATAAAATTGTATGTTAAATGTAACTGAAGAAAATTTTTTTAAGAATAAAAGGGTAAATTAAGATTATAGGTGGAATTAAGGTTACTAATCAATCAGCTGGCCTAAAAATAAGATTGTCCTGTATTATCCAACTGGGCCAAAGTAATGAGAATCCTTAAAAGCAGAAAACAGAAGCAGAAAAGGTTAGAAGAGGTTAGAATGTGAGAAGCACTTGACTGCTCCACAGCTGGCCTTAAAGATAGAGGGAGGTGACCATGAACCATGGAATGTGGGTGACCTTGAGAAGCTAGAAAAGATAAAGAATCAAATTCTCCCTTAGAGCCCTCTCAACACCTTGATTGTATCTCAGTACTGTCCATGCTGGACTTCTGACTTACAGAACAGTAATGTTATACATGGGTTTTTTTTAAGGCACTAAATATGGGGCAATCTGTTACAGCAGCCATAGAAAACTAATACAGAATTCAAGTTTAAAACAACAGCTCCAAGCATAAAAGAGAATTAAACCTATTGTAAGTATAGAGCTTGATGAATTCTCACAAACCGAACATTACTTCGCAACCAGTTCCTAAATCAAGAAAGAGAACTTGGGGGTAAATTACTATTACCCCCAAAGCCTCTCTTGTCCTCCTTTCTCATCATGCACAGTATATCTGTACCCACCTGCAGGGCAGCGTTATTTTTCTGACTGACTTTAGGGCATATAAACTTCACTCTTAACAAATGAATCAACACCATTTCCTTTTGTGTTGTATATTTTGACGTTCTACCTTAACTGACTCGCTGACCTGTCCTACACATTGATCCAAACTTATGCTGTTGCTTTTTTAAATCAGTGTGGAGCAAACCAATTTTAATTCTTAGCACATCCTGAGAGGGATGTGATTCTCCTCTGAGCCATTTTCTGAAATGAGATTTTATATGTGCTGAAAGTATGCCAAGAAAGACAATCCAAAACTACATAGAAAAATTCTAAAACACTCAATTTCTCTTCCATGTCTATTTCTTCACCTCATTCGAACTCATCAGAACTCTGATTTTAATAACAGGTTCATTATTCATAATAAAATGACATAGTTGACTAGCGAAATAAATTCCTTTTTGTTGTTGCTGTGGTTTTAGCACTATTTCTTGGAAGGTGCATTAAAGTTGTCTCTGTTAAAATGCTTTTCTTTCATCGGTGTCTTTAAAAATAAGGGAAGATTCAGCCAATCACAAGTCTCTAGACCGACGCTGTCTCTCTCTCTTAATCCAGGGCCAGTAAAGGGGTAATTTGATTAAACTGAGACCCTAATTTATTTGGCTTTAGTTCTGGATCAACCTCTCCTTAATAGAGTGCTGTCGGCTCCAATTGTTTGATGGAAATTAAAGTGACATAAATACCATGGGACTTTTTCAATCTGATTAGTCAGCGAAAGCACATCAATACCACCCCAGCCATCAGACTCTGGCGTCCTTCCTTTCACCCGCCTCGCTAAAGGCTGACAACTGCTCCTTGAAGGAGGAGCACCCACGCTGCTGCAGAGCCCCCCACGCTTAACCCATCATCCCTGCTCAATGGGCCCGGTTGACAAGGTGCCCATACCTTTCTCCATCGCTGTTCTCTGGACAAAGCTAAATATTGTTTTATTAGCAATCAATGGCTGTTAATCCAAACCGATTTCACAAATCCTCTGAGCCCTCAAGCTGATTATAAATACGCATTTTCCAAGCGCAGAAATTTTGAATTTCATTTCCCCCACCCTGATGCAAGCCCTTTTAGCCGGTGAATGAAACTCAAAAGCAAAGGGGTCAATGGCTTTCAAGGACTTAGAAATCAAACGTAAACGTGGATCCTGCTGACTGACTCAGAGATATCAACACACATCTTTTTTTTTTTTTTTTTTTTTTTTTGCGTGAGGAAGAGTCAATTTATAGATAGGAGCTATCTTTAAAATCTTATTATTAACATCTTTTCTTATTCTCTAACTGCTCAAATAAAAAATAATAGAAAAACAAACTACCCCATATCCCAGGAACACAATTTCTGGAAAAACTCTATATAGTCTCCCTAACCCTATGGCAGGAGAAAAGACATCTCTTCTGAGAGCAGGAAGTCCGTTATGTTATCGTGTCTTTATGATTCCATAGTCTGTGTATCCTACTCTAAGCTAGGAATCAGAATTCCTTTTTAAAAAAGGAATTGATTAAATAAGTTCCCACTATAAATTTCCATTCCCAACATCCATTTGAAAGGGTAAACACAATGTAATACAACTCAGCAGAGAGATCTTCATATACTCCACAAATATCTAGGGAGACAAATTATCTAATTACTCTTTTTAAATCCTCACCCAAGGGCATTTTTTTCATTGCTTTTAGAAAGAGGGGAAGGGGGAGAGAGAGAGAGAAAGAAACATTGGTTGGTTGCCTCTCATATGTGTCCCAAATGGGGATCAAACCCGCAACCTAGGTCTGTGCCTTGACTGATGATCGAACCTGCAACCTTTCAGTCCATGGGACTATGTTCCAACCAGCTGAGCCACACTGGTCAGGGTTCCAGTTACTCTTTACTCAAGTCTTATTACAATCCAAAGCTACTAAGTATTTCTTCTAATCTTCTTTGCCAATGCTTAAAAACTAGGAACGCTCTGGCTCAGGAACACCTCATCCAACAACGTATTTTGGCAGTGACTGATATGGCAAGCGAGTGTGCCAAAATGACTCAGGATCGAGGGGGTCCTTTTCCAAGAAGTGACGATCTACCATTCTGTAACGGGTCATACTTGGCCCTATTTCTGCTTCAGATTCTTTCTCCTTTATTCCAGCTCTACAAATTAGACTAGAAAACAGAGATGCTGACGAACAACAAATGTTCTAGTCTGACGCTCCATTTGTCTGTCTCCTGGAGGGCATCTCTGTATCTGATGCACAGTGCTCGAACCAAGATGTTGGTTAACAGAAGAGCTCTGGATAGCAAAATAAATTAAACGGGTACTAAGGATTCAGGAGTAAATCTCTATATTCTCACAGACCTTTTCCATATGAGGCATTCTTTTCTCTGTTTTATAAAAGTCAAAGCACACCGGAGGCCAAATGGGCTTCAGCAGCCACCTCCCTCTCAGACAAGGAGGCAGTGGCTCATGGGAGCTCACCACATACCCAAGGTCCCACAGCTACCTGCTATCCAAACAGAACCTATGATCTGGGCCCCCCTAGCCATCTAGGACCTTGTCACTTCACAAGTCCCCTCCTAGACATCAGATAAAATGGTAGAAACTACAACAGGAGTGGGCAACCATTTTCTGTAAAGGATGAGATAGTAAATACTTCCAAATTTATAGGCTTCTGTTGCAATTAACACAGCTCTGACACCATGGTGTAAAAGCAGCCATATATAATAAAGTGATGAGAATAGCTATGTTCCAGTAAAACTGTATGGACTACTGAAATTTGTATTTCTTACATTTTCACATGTCATGACATATTATTCCTCTTTTCAATTTTTTAATCATTTAAAAATATAAACACATTCTTAGCTCATGGGCCATACAAAAACAGGTGGGCTATATTTGGCCCAGTCTATAGTTTGCAAGCTCCTGGATTAGAAGAGTATATCATTAGAATCAGAAGCCATGAGACTCTAATGATACCTAATAAATGTTACAATGGCTGCATTAATCACATGAACGGTGTCATCCATTCAAGAGAATCCAAGAGCCTGAACTGCGGGAGCCTATGCCTACCTACTAGGTGAGGAGACAAAGAGGTGACACCACATTACGCCTCCTCAAACTACCTAACCAAATCCTTTTCTTAATACAAGTTGAGGGAAGACACTATTCTCAGTGGCATCTTTGCTCTTCACTCCGGACCATGAATATCTGGTTTCCAAAGGGTATTTCAACCTTCACTAGCACACAAGTTACTCACTAAAGCAAGATGAAGCTATCTGGGACTGAAGTACCAGAAAAACCAACAGATGAGGAGGACTAATTATTCCAATGCCTCCTGGAAGTAGGTCCAACAAGAAGAAGAGAGCTGGCTGCATCAGAATCTCCCAAGGAGTCTGCTTAAAATACAGTCTCCAAGCAAGTGACCCAGTAAATATGGATTTGGACCAGCTCAGGAAGTCACCGCATTGATTAGACAGCTATAACTTGTGAATGTGAAAAAGAAGATTAGCATCTAACCAGCTACTGTTAGAGGAAATGGTTTTCTGAACAGCTGAAGAATGTTAAGAGACCTACCCCTAGCACTAGTTTCAACAGAAATCTAGGTAGACTTACTGTTATGGGTTTCAGTGTTTTCCCCCAAAATCCACAGGGTGAAGTTACAACCTCTAGAACCTCAGAATGTGTCTTTATTTTGAAATAGGGTCATTACAGATATAATTCGTTAAGATAAAGACATACAGAAAAGGGTGGTTCTTAGTCCAATTTGACTAGTGTCCTTATAGAAAAGAGAAATTTAGTCATAGCCACACACACAGGACAAATACCATGTGAAGGACATAGGAAGAAGGCAGCCATCTATAAGTCAAGGAGAGAAGCCTGGAAAAATCCTCCTCACAGCCCTCAGAAGGAACCAATGCCGCCACACCCTGATCTCACTCAGACTTCTAGCCTCCAAAACTTTGAAGCAATACATTTCTGTTGTTTAAGCCACCCTGGTTATGGTACTTTATTGTAACAGTCCCAGCAAGCTAATACATTGAGGGCCCAGGGGAAGAAGTGGGCTATTCAGCGGATTTTAACACTGAGACAGAAACCCTGATTTTCTTTTATGTTTTCCCTACTGCAATGTCAGGTTGCTAAGCAGAATCCCACGGGGTATTCCAGTTACCAGACGGCTGCAGAAAGGCACTAGGCTTGCCCCCACCAGCTCTGCACTATCCGTCTGATGAATTCTTTTTCTATACGGAAGGCCACTGACCCAGAATACCAGGTGGGGTGAGCTTGGAAATCCACAACCCCTGTCAAACTGTGATTACCTAGCCACTTGGGAATTCTCACCTCTTTTAAATTACCTAAAGTTACTGTAACCTCCCAAGTTTGTATTGCATCCAATCTAAATTAGTTAAAAAAAAAAAAAAAGAAGATCCTGGAGGAAATGTCAGCTTACTTTCTGTCACTGTTGTCTTAAACCATTTAAACCCTAACTCATTTCTGAGACTATTTAGCTTACTAATGTTTCTCCTGTTTACTCATTCATTATGTTTATCTTCTTTTCAAACTGATTTTGGAGGAGGAAAGATATTGAGTACCCTGAGAGGTGGGGAACCAAATCCATGTAAAAAAAAATATTCTAAGTAGGAAAGACACCCAATGCCTCTGATTACAATTGCATTACACAATTTGGATGCAACAAAGCAATTTATACTTTCCCTAGAGCTCCCTATGAGATTTGCTTTATGTCATGGAAAGCAACTGCTCTATGCCTAATGCAGTGTTGTTGTTGTTTTTTATTTTGCTGAATCACCACCAAAACCAGGCTGACACTTCAGACAGAACAAAACTTTTTCGGTGCTTTTAGAGGGCACACCGCTTGTGATTGTCCCTAGGGCAAAAAAGACAGCACCAGCCACTGAGCAGGAACATGACCCTTTCTAGGAGAGATAATGTGCCAAATCCCAGGACACTTCTCCGCACAGAGCTCAGAACCCAGCTGTATCCAAAGTGGACATGACAGAACTGCAGAAGGTTTGGAAATAGATCCCTACTGAAAGCATAAATAAAAGTATTCTTTGGTTCATCAGGAGGTCCAGAAAAATACCACTGATCCTAACTCCTTGGTTGAGGTACACCAGCAGTTCTTAAGCATGTGTCCTCCTACTGATTCTGACGCGTGGGCCTGTTTATAACCCTATCGGAAGCCGCCACGGCAGCATGATGGTCCTGCATGTTTAACAGACATGTTTTGCTCCGACAAGTAAATTCTGCTAGAGGGACAAAGTATAGTCAAAGTATAAGTTAAATAAGATAGATAAACACTTGTCCAAAATCTATGTGGTAGGCTGTAACTTCTAACTATGTAGTAAACTCCGACTTCTGGATGAGTTGATGCAATTTAGAGAACCATTAAAAAGAAAATTAAATTTGTGTTGGAACAGTTCTGCGTCAGTTTGGGCTGAATCACCGCGGGGGCTGAATCATCGCTGGAGGCTGAGTCACCCCTGGAGGCACATCAGCGGAATCGTGCCTCTTTTTGGATGCTCTGTCCCAGAACTTTAAATCTTGGCATGAAAATAGGTTGAAGCAAATCACTCAAGTGAGAGAGAATGCTTTAAGTTTAAAACATTTATAAAGAGAAAGAAAGAAAGCTTACTGCTAACATCATGAGCCAGTTAATTTTACTCCGATGTAATAGTTTGCCTAAGCCAGGGGACGTAGTGACAGCAATATTTACAAGACCATGTAAATATGTATGATGTCCTCAGCAAACATGCCTGAACTCAAGGCTTACTTTGAAGGAAAGATGAATTTATTATTGCTATTTAAAGCACAGCAAAGGCTGAGCATATGAAATTTTAAATGATGAGCTTATTTACATTTAAGCCCTGCAAATGTAAAGAAAAAATGAGCAAGAAAGGGATTGTTGGCATTACTAGCCAGTGAAAACAGATGAGGGTGTATTTCTTCCTTACCGCCCCAGCTTTTTTTCTCGTGGTACCCAGGCAACAGAATCCAACATCATGACCTTGAAAGGCAGAAGCATAGTCATCCAGCTTTTCAAAATCCACCACTTCTTGATTCTAGACAAAGACACAGTTATATAAAACTTGATGTTATTTTAAAAAATACTCTATATATAAAGAATAAATTACAGGACATTATGAAGAGCCTTCCCACTTAACAGCAAATTTTGCAAGCTCATTTTCTCCCACCAAAAACCAATTAATCTGAATTCAAAATCAACAATGCGCCAATACCGCCATGGTACATGTAATTGGACTAGGGGTGATCCAGATCTCTAAAGTCAGGTTCAATGATAATTTTCTCTCTGGAAAAAATAATTTTTTAATTATTTTATTTCATAACTTATAATTTTATTAATTTTATTATTATTATTATTTTGGTCTGCATATTACCAGAAGGAATACCAATGAGGTGTAAGGAAGAGTCAGGGAATGGTGTTTAGAATCTCAAATGCCTAGGTTGGAGTCTCGGGCCTGCTACTTCCTAAACATGTAATTTTGGCCAAGTTATTGTATCATATACCTCAGTTTTTCAGCAGTACAATGTAAATGATAATCTTTCTTTCAGTCCAAGCCATGAACCACCTGCATTAAAATCAGCCAGTGGATGCTTGATAAAAGGGCATATTCTTAGGCCTCCAATACTTCTGAGTTAGAAACTCCACTTTTTTTTTAAATCCTCACCCAAGGATATTTTTTATTGATTTTAGGAAGAGAGGAAGGGAGAGAAACATCGATGTGAGAGCGAAACATCAGTTGGTTGCCTTCTATATACACCCTGACCGGCTATCGAACCCACAACTCAGGTATGTGGCCTGACCTGCAACCGTTTTGTGCATGGGGCAATGCTCCAACCAACTGAGCCACCCAACCAGGGCAAAAACTTCACTTTTAATAAGCACCCTTGGAAATTCTCATGCTCACTGAAATTTAAGAACCTTTATCTAACCTAATAAGTTTGTTGTGAAACTTCAGAAACAAAGTTTAAATTCCCATCCATCATCCAGGATTTCACATAAAATGTTGTTTTCCTTCCCTACCATCAACTCTTTCAAAAGAATTTTTCTGGCACTGTACACACATGCTGAAAAAAGAAAATGTGTGCATAAAGTGCCCAACCAAAAGATGTGCCACCGAAATAGACTATCAAAGCACAGAACTTGATTTCAGTTTCCAATTACCCAAAGTATCAGACACACCCAAAGGAGCCAGGTTATGAAGACTACATGTTACTGCCTAAGTCTGAGCAAAGGTGTTCATTTTAAACAGGAAATTCCTGCTGGGCCAAAGATATGCAAATTGACATGAACAGGGACCTGCAGGAGTCAAGAACATTTGTGAGACCATTTGTTATCTGGAATGTTCCACCTGTGCACCTGTGGGACCAAGTTCTATAATTAGGGGGTCCCAGGATTACATTATAATATACTGAAGTTCACAAATAACTCAGTTAAAATGCGGGGGAAGGACTCTCCACGAAGCTCAGATTTCAAATACTTAGAGAGTGTGCACCAGACTGAAGTCTGGTGTATTGTTTGGTTAACCATGAAATGAAAGTCCGGGCAAGGAAGAATATTCCACCTACAGACACAAGGCTGCAGCCCGGGATAGTCCGGCAAGGCAAAGTCTTATAATAGCCCTGCTTTCGCTGCCACAGACAGTTCCTGTTCTGCAAAGCATTTTTTGATTCACTGACATTAGTGTGGAGCAGACAAGGAGACAAAACAAGCTAAGAGGACTGTCTCTATAGCCCAACTTGAATGACGATGAAAACAATGATGGTCTTTGTCTCCCCCTACAACGTAGGCCCAGCCTTCCAGGTGCCCAGACTGAGAGAAGGACTTTGCCCAAGGCCTCAAGTGAGAAGAGGCCCACAGAGGCCTGCAATCCAGGACTCGAGCTCTCAGCAAGGGCGCTCACAGACTAGTCTGTGACGACGGGCCACATTCCGATCACCTCTCACAGCCTCGACCACTGGGGGCAATGTTTAGCCTTTAAATAGGAAATGTCTCCACCCGGCAGAATCGACTGCGCATACATTTTAAGTCTCAGCTCAAATACCTACCACATTTTTATAAGCTTCCTCATCAAAAGACAGCTTCCTCCGGCCAATGACTGTGACTTTGGAAAATAGGCCCTGTTCCAGTATTTCTTTTAGGAGCACTCTGCCGGTTTCCCCACTGGCGCCCAAAATAAAAACGGATTTGTTCAGCCTCCTGAAGTCTCCTCGAAGCTTGGGCAGCGCCTCCGCCTCACCCATGCTGCAGAAGAAACATCAACAGGTGCTGCTCTTAGTCTATTTAAGGGATGGCCCGGCTTACCCTGGGGAACAAGGAACGTTTAGTCGTCCTGGAGGAAGATTTTGTTATTCTCCGCAGCCTGGGCTTGCGAGAAAGTGCTGAGTCATCGGCAGGGCGAGTGCCAGCCCAGATCCCGGAAGGAGCCACGGACCGCGGGACCGAGAGGCCTCGTTCCCCCTTGGTACCCTCGGTTCCGATGCCTCCTTCCTTTGCCCAAATAGTACAGGGGCCCAGCTCTGTCTCCTAAGCGGAGGGGTTACCTGGAGCCGGCGCCAGGCCCCGAGACCTCACATTGTAGCAAGAGCAGAGCGGCGGCCAGCGCAGCAACCGCCACCACTGCGGCCCCTGCGCTCAGCGCCGCGGAGCGGTGCATCCGGGCATCCCCCGTTCCCGGGAGTTTCCTGTCCCCTAATCTCGGTCGGTGGCGGGTGCCCCCAACCCTCATCCACCGGGAGTCTGAGACGCCCACGCCCACACCTACCCGGCTACGCCTTCCTGGTGACTTCGCTGCCTGGCTGTCTCGCCCGACGCTCAGGGTGGAGCTTGAGCGTCGTTCCCTGCGGAGCTTGGGCGCCGGCCTCGGGAGCCAGAGCGCGGGCGCTTGCACAGGACGAGTTGCGACAGTTGGAGTCCTCCAGGACTCCTCTCCCTCCCGTTCTTCTTCACCACTTGGGCTGAACTCATCCATATCCAAGGTTTCAGCCAATACACTTGACCTTTGCTCGTCTCATTCTAAAACCTGTAATTTCAATTGTGTATGGACATTTTCATCTCGAATTCACCATTGCAAAAACTTAGCCGTTCCGATCCAATCACGCCAAAGAGGAATAAAACAAACCTATTCCTCGCTTCTCTTGGGTGTCACTGTCCCTATACATTCACACACTCCTCATCCCTCCCCTCTGGATGTCCTAGTGACCCGGGGCACAGTAATCATCAACCCAGGAAGACTCTCTCTTCTGGGAGGTGAGTCACCACATCTATTTCATTGCTTTAACTTCGGCTCTCGAGACAGTGTTCAGCCTTAAATAGGTATTCAAGGAAAATTTTTGCCTGGATGTATTTCTGTATACTTCATAGGTGAAATCTAGAAGGAGAGTAAAAAGCCAACTTGTCAAACATTCTAACTTTACAAATGACGCTCAAGGATGAAGTATATGACTTGTTAAGTCTTGGGCATGCTCTTTAATGGAGACAACATAGCAAAGGGTAAGAAAAAAAAAAAAGGAGAAAACTTGGCAAGTAACTCATGGGCAAAGGTGCCCTGCCCACACCACCCCCATGTCCTTGCAGAGCTCATCTTCCCAAATCGTGCCACCTCAATAGACAGTTGCCTTCTGAGGGGAATTCTGTTAAGTTAGCATGTTTTCTTTCCAATGTGAGGGAAGGCACTTAGAGGACGTGAGGGCCCCATGCAGAGGAGAGTGAAGGAGCAGCAGGTAGGGCAGAGGGTTTATTCAAGAGATAGGGGTGGATGAGCAGGGAAGCCACATGTGTCATGAGCCCTCAATGTCAAGCAGAGGTGTAGAGATGGTGTATCAGCGTCCTACGGTTGCTGTAACAAATTACCACAAGCTGGGTGGCTTACTGCAGAAACTTGTTCTCTCACAACTCTGGAAGCAAGAAGTCTGAAATCAAGGTGTCAGCAGGACCACGCTTCCTCTAGATGAAGGCTTTAGGAGAGAACTGTTTCTCATTTCTTCCAGTTTCTGGAGGCTCCAGGTATTCCCTGGCTTGCGGCTGCAGAACTCCAATCTCTGCCTCTGTCTTCAAATGGCCTTCTCCTCTGTGTGTCTGTGTCTTTTCTTCTATGTCTTGTAAGGATATTTGTCATTGGATTTAAGGCCTGTCCATATAACCCAGTAGGACCTCATCTGGGGATCCCCAACTTAATTACATCTGTAAAGATCCTTTTTCCACACAAGTTTACATTCACAAGTTCTCAGGGTTAGGAGGCATATATCACTTTGGGAGCCACTATTCAACCCACAAGAGATGTTAAATAGGACAAATGTTAGTCAAATTCTAAACAAAAGGGTTGCCTGATGAGCTCTACATTTAGTGGATAAAGCTGGAGTTAGAAGTAGTGTGAAGAGAGGGGATAAAGAAAGAAGAGGGCTTTTGGATGAAGTTCTTGCCAGAGTAACTTAAGGGATGAAGGCATGGACCCAAGCAGGGAAGAGGAGGAGGGAACACATATGAAAAACCTTATAAAATGACTAGCTGTGTCCTTAGTTTTAGCCTCCTCATCTAAAATTGGGGGTAATGGCAAAGCCAGCATACTGCACAGATGTATGGCAGAGTTCAAATTAGGCACCATGTGCAAAGGCCGTATAGGCTGGCAGTTTGTATACAGGCCATGGCATCAATCCACCCGGTCTTAAGTCCTGGCTCTACCCCTAGCTAAGTGTCTCTGGGCAAGTTCTTTCCATTCCTTGGTTTTCCCATCTGTAAAGTATGAATGATAATAATTACCTAAATCCAGGAATTTTTAGAAATTAAAGCACTTAGTATCTAGCATGTAGTAAGCATAGACTACATATAATCTTATTATGGAAAAGAACTAAGTACTTTTGTAAACATATAATTACTGTGTAGCAATTCTGGCTACACATGGGCTTTGCTTGAAGCTCTAGAAAAATAAAGATGCCTGGGCCTTGCCCTAGACTTGCTGAAACAGGATTGGTCATTTTTAAAGCTCTTCAGGTGATTCTGCTGCACAGTCAAAGGAGAAATTCAACATGTTATTCAGGTCATTTTATTGGGATCCATTTCCTAATACTATCCATAAGGAGAATAAACATAGTCTTCCCCTTTCGGAGACCACGTAGTGACTGGAAGCATCCTGAGCTGCACTTCTCCTTTTTTTAGAAGTACTTATATAACACTTTATGTATGCCAAGGACCATTAGTCACTGGGTATATATTAGCTCATTTAACACATGCAACATCCTCATGAAGCAGGAATTACTGTTGCTACAGATAAGGAAACTGAGGCACAGAGAGGTTAAGTAGCTCACCCAAAGTCACCCAGTTAGAAAGCGGGAGAGCCAGCATTGGAGCTGCCGTCTTCTGGCTCAAATGACTACACCAAACAGATTCTCTTAGAGCTGTAGTGTGTCTCAAAGCCCGTAACCCCTCTAAACCTCAGTTTCCTTATCTGTAAAATGAGGATTATAACATTACTGACTTCATAGGAAATTTATAAAAATTAAGTGAGGTGCTGCATGTAAAGCACTCAGCAATGTATTTAGTACCTACGAAGCACTAAATGAAAGTCAGCCACTACTATTAACAATTTTAATGCTATCACTAATTATTCAGTTTCATGGAAATATAATGCAGGTTCCAGCTTAAGTCTAACTGAAAATCTGAAATAGCTGAGCCTGTTTATCTAGTTGCCGTCATAGGACACCTGATTCAAGGCAAAGTGGGATCTGTCACTTGCATTTACCTCCTGAGCCTCTTCTCTTTTCCCTGTCTAGTGAAAGAGTCCCATTGTGCATGGGGAGACTTGGGAAACTAAGAGGCCCACTTCCCTAGTGAACGAACAGAGAGTTCTGCAAGACATTGAAGAACAAGCAGCACTGCTTTGAGAGCCCTTTAAGAAAAAATTATTTACTTACTTTATCCTCACCCGAGGACATGCCCATTGATTTTAGAGATGGGGAGAGGGAGGGAGAGAGAGAGAGAGAGGGAGAAAAACATGACCAGCAGCACAAGGCTCCTACCAACTGAACCACAGAGACCAAGGCTTGAGGGCCCTTTTAAGTAAAGGAAAAGTGCGTGCTTATGCTTTCTTCTTTCCAAGAGAATGTGCAGCTATAATTTCTCAAGGAAGCCAGAGCCTTGGCCAGAGAAAGAGCAAGAGATCAACCAAAGTAGTCTTGCCAGGTTACACATGCAACACATCCTTCCTCCAAACACGTCAGTGCGTTTTAGAAGTTGTGTGAGTCGCTAGAAGCTGGAGGAAATTAAAACTGATAAACTTAACTACAGCCTAGTGGGACTAGAGAAATCCAGATGACATAACACTTTACAATTCCTGACACAAGCACTGAGTAGACTAATGTGCAGAAAAGGAAAACAAAAGTTTAATCTGTCAAGTTTCCTGTGTGTGTACAGCTGTGCGCCTTTGCTCTGGATGTGTATGTAGAAAATCCAGATTCAGTTTCCTGGCAGCATCAGCACTCTTGATTATTTTCCACCACATAGCACAAGAGGGCGCCAGAGAAGGTGGAAATTTTTGTTTTCCTGGGAACCACTTGAGTTAAAAAATTCACTCGAATCTTTTATAAGGATGTTTACTATTCTCCTGATTCTTAAAGAATGAGCTGACTGTGTGCGTAAGTTTATTGGCTGATACTTTGGAGTGAGATGGGTAGTTCTCAAATGAAAAAGATAAAATAAATAAGCAATGTTGGAGATGGCAGAGGGTAAAGGAGTTTGCTGGCGATGAGTTAATTCATTTGTCAAACATTTATTCATTGCTTTCTGTGTGCCTACTAGTTAGATGCTGGGGGTGCAAAGATAAATGAACCCATAGTTTCGTGTTGGACTTACTAGTAACATCAGAAGTCAAAATTTTCATAATACTTTATTTTTTCTTATTTGAAACTCCTTATCCTCTTCATCTATTCACCCGTTCTTGTCTTCAGAGGCAGTCTATGTAAGAGTTAAGCATAAAGGCTTTGGAGTAAGACAGCTGGAGTCGATTCTTAGCTCTACCGCTTTCCAGCTGTTAACCTCTCTGTGCCTTAGTTTCCTCATTTGTAAAATGGGATGGTTATAATAGCTACCTCATTGTAGATATTATGGTGAAGATTAAATGAGATATCCATGCAAAGTGCTTGAAATTGTGTCATATTTAAAAGCTCAGTTTCTGTTAACTATTATTCAGATACTATACATCCTTGGAAATCCTGATGAAATATGAAATGGGGCGGGGGAGACAGAGAGACAGACAGACAGACAGAGACAGAGATTGGGCCTTATGCTTTCTTCTTGAGTTATTGTTTGATATAATTGTTAAGGCCAATAAATTCTTCTGTTTCAATCACTTGCAAGAAAGAATCCTGACTGATACAGCAGCCGTATTTCTTAATTTCCTAATTCGTGTCAGTACTGTGCTAAGTGCTTTGCATATTGTAACTGTCATATTTTTAAAAATTATATTTTATTGATTATGCTATTATAGTTGTTCTCCCTTTTTTCTCCCTTTTGCCCCCTCCACCCAGGACCCCCACTCCCTCAGGCAACCCCCACACCATCATTCATGTCCATGGGTCATACGTATAAATTCTTTGGCTACTCCCTTTCCTATACTGTACTATATATCCCCATGGCTATTCTGTAACTACCACTTTGTACTTCTTAATCCCCTTGCCTCTTCAGCC